TGCTCAGTTTATACACCGCGCCGAGGGTGTGCTCCGCGTCGAACTGCACCCGCTCGGAGGAATCGACTTGCTCGACCTTGATCGCGCGCTCCGACTCGTCGGACATAGCTGGAGCGGTCGTAGAGTAAGTAAGAGCAAGCGGGAGCGCAGGTCGGTACAGTGGTACTCAGCAAGCGAGTACTTGTTATTGTAGCAACTTCAACGACGCGACGCGAACGAGTTGCGAACGAGCGTCAGTTTGCTCTCCACGGTCACGGTCCTCACTAGCACTGGCACGAAATCGCGGGATCAAATGTACACTCCTCCGCATACGATTCTCAGATCTCAGAACCTGACAGTGACAACACGATGGCGCGGGATCAAGAGCACCCATTACACGATACCTGGGTCCAGTAATGCAGCCGGTATAAAGACATGCTACATATTATTTTCTTCACGTCAAAGACGCGCACGTCGAGGAATATTCGCGGGGAGACGAGTATTCCGCGAGCGATCGTACGCGTGGAAGTAGGGGCCCTCCACTTCGGATTCCCGTTCGACCCTTGACGTTGACGCGGCGTGACGGAGGGGTCGTCCAAGGGTCGCCACGCTGCTCCGAGTCGTTCTCTAGACAGGATGATCTCGACGCGTCGCCGGCCTTCCGACCTCTTCCTGCTGCCGTCTCTCCAGCTCCCCGTCCCCGCTGCCGCCCATTGCCTGCGTCCGCCGCGTACTGAGCGACCCGACCAGTCGCTCTCTTCGCCCCTGCTACACGGCCCACCTCACTCGGACTTCGCATTTGAGAACTTCGCCTTTGCCGTCAAGAGACGACGGGCGGACCGAGTGACACAGAAGGAAGACGAGGGTGTGCGTAGTTTCGTCGACCCATTCCAGTTCCAGCGCGTGGGGTCGGCGGTCGTGCTTTGCGTTGGCCAATGCGAGACTGTGCTCCCTTCAAGTCCAGTAGAATGTCATTCTCTCCGCACGGCGAGCCCGGACAAGGATCGGACTAGACGCTTGTCGGCTCTTCTGGTCTGCAACGGAGACTAGGATCAGGCAGCCGAGCGCGACAGACCGCTGAAGATGTTAGTCATAGTAATATTAGGGTACAGCTATGTAGCTGTACCGTCGACTGCAACTCGAACAACGTCAATGTTGTGGAAAGCTTCAGAATTTACGACAGACTCAACCATTTCGAGCCTCTCGTACATACTGTTTCGGTATGAACGTCCGGCAGATATGTCCGTTATGATTAGTGTCCTTCTCCAAGTCAGAACGCGCTTCCTTCGCAAACCTAGACGATCTCCTAATCATGTGTGTTGCTGTGCCTTCAATCGAGCTGAGGTCGATGATATGCCGCGAATCAGTTGTCTTTGAATCGACATTTACGAAGAACTATGACGAGGGGGTCCTCGGACTATCGCAGCACATGTGGCCATGGATTTCTTGTCACGATTTTCTCGTCTAGAGTGGCACCGAATCCAGGGTACCAATATTAGCAGGCTATGTCGGCGCGTAGGACTTCGGCTCACCCCGGCGAGTCGACCATGGCACTACTCAATGGATGAGTCCCACACGGGCCGGACCGCGCATGGCGGCTGCGCATAAATCACATTTTCCGTCCTTGGAAGCACTTGCGGGGGAACCAGCTGGCTGGCTGGTACACCGGGGTCGACCTATTGTCGTCTGCCGGGTACCTCTGTAGAGCCCTCAGGCTCCCAACAGAATTATGGAGGTAGTGGTCCGCTAAGGATACCACAGACGTGTCGTGGTGGTGGAATGCGTCCGCACTGAAGGGTGGGAGACCGAGAGGTAATAGGGATGAGGGTACGGCGAGGTGAGTCCGAGCGGTCACTCGAAAGGCGAACGGCGAGGGTCGCGTCGCGCATGTGACCGTGTCACTGGTGATCGATTGATCGAAGTTCGCTCCCGTTCAAATCCCAAGGTTGGAGCAAGATTTTCTTGTGAGTCAAGAAAGCATCGCAAAACGCAAAACGCAATACACAATACGCAAAAAGTGCTTTCAGTCGGTGTTGTATATGGTGTATATGTACATATTGTTTGATCGCACACCCATGCGGTCGCATGAGTAAGTCCCAAGTCATGATCATCATTACATAGTCTCCGTTGCTGACCAAAAAGAGATAGTACTCTCGGTTTTGATCATTACATACTTATGGGCGACTCGTGCTTGCGTCCTCGTTGGTCATCCGAGTGCGTCTGCAGCAGCTCGACTCGGAGCGATGCCGTAGCCACTGGACGAGTCAGAGTCCTGCCGAGAGGGAGACGTACACCTCCGCGACTTCTAACTTCCACGACGCTGCCCTGACTCGGACGTTTGACACAGACTCGGCAGTGATCAGGCAATGCGCCGACCGGGCCACGCGTATGCACTCAGATCGCCCGTACATAAGGCCAGCTAGGATAGGGTAGCTCTACACCAGACGACCCTAAGCCTCTCATCAACTAAATACCGAAAGTGACTTCTCAATGGGTAGTACTTCGCCGATCCCCGTTCTCATTGTAAGTAAGTATCAACAGTCCAAACTCCAAGCTGATCGCCATCACACAGGCTGGTGCTGGGCCCACTGGGCTTGTTCTGGGACTGACCCTCCTTCAGAATGGCGTTCAAGTTCGGATCGTTGACAAGGACCCGAAACGCCATCCTGGACAGCGAGGTTCTGGCCTGCAGGTGAGCAATACGCGCATGGTACATGACGCTCGCTTACAGGCGGACGTGCAGCCGCGTACACTGGAACTGTTCCACTTCCTCGGCGTTCTTGACGACGTGCAGGTCAATGCACTGTCTGTCATGCCGAGGCGCGAATACAAACTACCAGGAGGGACAGAGACGCTCAAAGTGGAGACGATAGCTCCCATCGAGGATCCTACCCCCGCAACCCCTTACGTGAGCTCGATCGCCGATATGCATCCTTTCGGCTGACCCACACTGCCTCGCAAGGTCAATGCAAGTTTGCTTGGCCAGTACAATACCGAGGCGATTCTTCGTGCGCACATCGAACGCCTTGGGGGCACTGTAGAGTACGGGACCGAGCTGCGTAGCTTTGAGCAGCATCCAAACCACGTCGAAGCAACGCTTGTCACCAAAAATGGCGAGAAAGAGAAGACCGAGACACTGACATCCCACTGGCTGGTAGGCACGGATGGTGCCCGAGGTAAGCTATCTATGTCCCCGAGAATGTCGTGCACTGACGCGTAATGCTATAGGCATTGTTCGCAAGCAACTGGGCCTGTCTTTCATTGGAGAGACTCGTACGGACGGAGCTATACACTTGCTCGGTCTGGTCGAAGTCCAGGGACTTGACGCAGATGTGGGTGTCCAGTCCAGACCCAATCCGCCTTTCTGTCGGGTTTGATACAGAGTTCGCTGACTGGCCTCTTGGGTAGCACTGGCACCAGTGGGCAGAAATGCTTAATGGCGGGTGCGTTGTCGTGGACTTGCAAGAGCTTACGGCTCTCTAACTGCTCCGTTCGACAGCCTTATGTTAATCCCCACAGAGAGGACCGGATACTTCAGCTTCTTCCTCGGACGGGTGCAAGATGTGGAAAAGCTGTTGGTGGACAGAGACGCACTTGTCGAGACCTTCCTCAATCGGGTTGAGCGACAGGACTTGGTGTTCGGCAAATTCGAGGCGGTCTCGCCATACAGGTCAGTGTTGGAAAGGACGTTTCTCATGCCAGCTTATCATCGTTTGTTTCGATGCATAGACCGAACATTCGCATGGTGGACAAGTTCGGCGAAGGCCGCGTCTTCGTCGCCGGAGGTAAATCTGGAGGTTGCTCCTGAACACGACGAGGCGACTAACACGCAACGTAGATGCGGCACATGTTCACAGCCCAGCTGGTGGCCAGGTAAGTCGGATTGCGCGCCTCCTTTGAGGTCCGTTCTAGCAAGGCTAACGTCGTTTTCTTAGGGCTTGAACTCCAGTGTCCAAGATGCGGTGCGCACTGCAATCTAATCACAATGCTCTCCCAATTGACGGATTCCACCCAGTTCAACCTCGCATGGAAACTCACGCTCGTCGAGCAGGGCCTCGCCTCTCCCTCCCTGCTGGCCACCTACACCGAGGAGCGCCTTCCCGTCATCGCTGCAATGCTGCAGAAGAGTACGAAACTCTTCGAGGCCTTGCAGAAAGGTGACACAGAGCGCGCCTGGAAGCGTGGCGGCGACCTCAGGATGCTGGGCGTGAACTACCGCTGGAGCTCCATCGTCGTGGACGAGCGCACGCCCAAGGCGCAGTCGCCCGAGAGCGTCAATCCCTATGGCTCGGGCACCGACGGTGATCTCAGAGCGGGCGACCGTGCACCTGACGCACCCGGCCTTGTGAATGTTGGCTCCGAGAGGCCGACGATCCGACGTCGCTCTTCAGCGTGTTCCGCCCTTCCCACCATACAGCGCTTCTGTTCAATATACCTGCCGAGGAGATGGAGCAAGTACTCAGAGTGGCGCAAAAGTATCCGTCTGGCTCTGTCAAGACGGTGTCGATTTACCCTCAGGGCACGTCGAACCCCAGTGTCGTTGGACGACCAGACCTTGCGTAGCCGACAGGGACGGCCATGCGTACGCAGGATACCAAGTGTCCCCGGAGAAGCCGACGATCGTGATCGTGCGTCCGGATGGGGTGGTCGGAGGGATTGTATACGGGTGTCCGGCCTCGCGCAGTATTTCAGAGGTGTCTTCGACGCCACGGGCGATGCGCTCTAAGTAGTTCGCTCGGACAGATATTCACTGTCTAGACCATGTGTACCATTAGTAAGCATATCATTATACATCCCAACTCCATACTTCCAAGTCCATATGCAATCAAGCAAGCAACTGACATGCAGTGGTGAGTATCCCATGATAGAAAGCACGACAGCGTACGAGCAACAGCGACGACATGATAGTGATGATGAAAGTAATACGCAGCAGCACAGTCTACTCGGACTTGATCGGGTTCGCGACAGTTCGCTGAGACGGCGAGACCTTCGGCTCGTCGTGCATGTCAGCATCCTCCTCGACTTGAGGTCCTTCATTCGACGGCCTCCGCATCGAAATCGACATCATCGCCGCCGTTGTCATACTCCAGTTTTGGCTCCGGTGTCTCTGGCTCGGAAGACCCCGCTTGCGCTTCCGACTCGCCTTCAGAGCGTCCGAATGTTTTGACTTTCCCCTCGCCTTTCCCTTCGGCGGAGTGAAATATTTGTAGTTCCTCGCGAGGACACGTTGGAACTGGATGTCGTAGCTGACGCACTTCATTGCCCATACACCGATCGCCTATGGTGGTGTAGTAGAGCAGCTTAGTATCAATGTGAACCTGCACACCGCGAAAGACAGATCTCACCTCTTCTCCTCTCTCGTATGCAGCAACGATATCTTCCCACGTGACCTTGCGGCGTGCTGCAACTACACGATCTTTGTCTTCGACGACCGCAGAGATCTCATCCCTGGATGGTTCTCTGTGATGTTCCTTGCGAAACCCCACCCTGAACATAACAACATCTCCCCAGGACTTCTCGAGGATGTCCTGCCCCCACGTCCTTCGTACCTATGCAAGAACAAATCAGCATTTAGACGCCCTCAGAGGACATCTATAGCCGAGAGACTGACTGCGAGGGGTTGAAGAGCAAACTCATCTGAGGTCAGAGACTCCGAAACGTACATCCGGTACTGACCCATGTAACCCCAGAGTGCAGGTTTGTCTTGCACCCTCACGAATACACGAAAGATACTGCGTTCGAAATCACCTTCACCGTCAGCGCGCCTAGTTCCGAAGAACAAGCCGGGGTCGCCGGGGTTGACCGGTGCGTGCGGGTTGAGCTCGAGGACAAGACACATAAAGTCGCTGAGCAGGTGAACTTGGGCCTTCTGTGGTGCCGGGTGGGGAAACGTGTCGACGAAGCTCCCTCCGTAGAGGTTATGTAAGTAGTAGCGGTTAAACATGAACCTCAGCGTCGGCTCGTCGAGGTCTATTCGATACGGATCCAACCCGACTACCTTCATCCGGTCCGCAACCGTCTTCCACGTAAACTGCGAATCCTTCTTGATCTTGGCGATAGGCTGCGCGGAGCTATAAGCAATACAGATGGCATAGTAAAATCAGAATCAATTCACATTCCTGAGTCGCAGAACAGCTTCGTGCTGTTGCTCGTCCGTCAGGTCGTAGTAGGTTCCAGGTGGTGGCAACTGGACTAGCCAGTCATCCTCAAGGGGCTCTGCCTTTACCGGTATGCCCGTGTCTAAACAGTACGTTGTGCACATTGTCCTCACCTGTGCTGAAGCAACTGTATCTCATACGACTCACCAGCCTCCTCACGCTTCGTGGCAGCCGCCTGCGCTGCCTCTCTGCGCTCTATCTCAAATCGCTCGACCGTCGGCACGAGGATATACCACTGGGAAGAGGGCCGCGAAGCCCCGGGTAGCTGAGCGGACCCAACTTGGACAGACTCCTCCTCCTTCGTGGGCAGTCTATATACCGCGCCGAGGGTGCTCTCCGCGTCGAACTGCACGCGCTCGGGGGAATCAGCTTGCTCGACCTTGATCGCGCGCTCCGAGTCGTTGGACATAGCCGCGGTCGTAGAGAAGGGGGAAGCGGAAGGCGGGAACAGTACAGTAGTGCAGGGCAAGATGCAGGTCGGCGGTGGCAAGCGAGTGTAGCGACTTCGACGACGCGACGCGACGCGAAGCGAGCGTCACTTGCTCTTCGCGGTCACGGTCCTCCCAGAGGCCATGCAATCTCGGGATAAAATCATCAAATGTATACTCCTCCGAATACAAATTCCTCAGACCTGGCATCACGATTTCGCGGGATGGAGTGCATTCATTACGAGCTACGTGGGTCCAGTACTTGCTACTTAGCAATGCATCGGACTTGGTCGACCCTCGACCTCCGGCGACGCGCTATATATGACGGCCCTCCCATGGCACTCAACACGCTTACGGTCGTGTTTAGGGTCTGCTTACGGGAGATGACGCGACGCGCGACAGAGGGGTCGTCCAAGGGTCGTCCCGCGAGTCTGAGTGTCCAGTCGTCCAGTCATTCTCCCCTATGTAGACAACGGAAGAGTTGAACCAGTTGAGCATGGCAGTTGCCTCGGGATGCAATCAGACACGAATACGGTGACTCATGGGGCGACACTATGGCGTATCCTGTCATCCGCTGATAGCGACGTGTGGACGGGGCACTTGGATGGTAACGCACATACCAGTGTAAGGACACAGAGCCAGAGCCAGAGCCAGGCAGCCTGCACGAGCTCATTGCGCAGCCAGAAGCGAAGCCTGGTGTGACTTCGATCGAGGGCTGCATTGGCGGTTCGATATCAGACTCGCAGGACGCCTCGACCGCGGACACGTCAACGTCTTCCGGACGGATGCATCGAACGCAGAGCGGACACAGCCTGTCCCCAGGCGTTGTCTGTGTGCAGATGGTAGTCTGGCAGACTGGACAGCTGAAACACGCGCTGTTGTTTCCGAGGGAGGAGGGGGAAGAGGAGGCTGACGGAGGGCCCATCGGGGGATCTGAATGGCGGGCGGTCAGAGTCTGGACGGGGGACGACAGGCAGCAGCCACGTTCCGCGACCGAAGACCAATACACTCCCCAAGCGAACATCCCCCGCCATCACCCGCCTATAAACACGCCTCCCCACCAGCCTCTCCCCCGCCCTCCCCTCCGGATACCCTCCCGCCCTCCTCAACCCGTCTGCGCGTCGTCCAGGTGAGCGTCTTCCACCCCGCATCGAACCGTGCGCTTATTCATCTCACCCGCCGCTCCGCGCTCCATGTCATCCCCAGACTCCAGCATCCGCTCCCTCCAGCAGCAACCTGCGCGCCCACACGCACACGCCCCGCACACATCCACCGCTAACTGACCGCCAACGCACCCGCACACAGCACGACCCCCTAACTCGCAACTGATCAACGACTCTGCAGAGCGGCGATGGCCGAGCAGGCACACGAAATCACTTTCCGGTGGTGAGTGCGCCCCTCCTGCAGCCAACCGCACCCGCTCACAGGCACACCCAGGCCCTCCACCGATGCCCAGGACGTCATCGTCACAGGCTCCTTCGACGGGGTGAGTCCCGCCTCCCCGCCTCCCACCCGCACTCGCTGACGCATCCCCTCCCTCCCCTCCCCTCCCTACACGCCTACACGACGCACAGTGGTCGAGCTCGACCCACCTCGCCAAAACGCCCGCGGGCTTCGAGGGCACCGCCCGCGTGCCCTTCGGCACCAAGGTCGCGTACAAGTACGTCGTCGACGGCCGCTGGACCACCGCGGACGGCCAGCCCACCGAGCTCGACCCCATCGGCAACCTCAACAACGTCTACACCGCCCCGCCCGCGCCCGCGCCGGAACCCACACCCGCAGCGGGCGTCGTGGCCACGGTAAAAGACACGGTCGCGGGCCTCGCGCAGACGGCAACCGCCATGGTCGAGGCGATGGCGCCCTCCGTCGAGAGCCCGGCCCTCCCCACAGAGCCAGAGCCAGAGCCGGCAGCAGAACCGGCCCCCGCACCAGCCGACCCTGCCCCTGCCCCTGCCCCTGCACCCGAGCTGTCCCCGACGAGCGAGCCGTTCACGCCAGGGACCGTCCTCCCGGCCTCCGAGCTCGCCGCGCCGCACCTCGCGCCCGACGTCCCCATGCACATCCTCCCGCTCGAGCCGGAGCCCCTCAAGCCGACGGTCGTCGAGGGCTCCGCGCCCGCGCCCGCGGTCAACGGGAACGGGCACGCTAACGGGCACGGAGCCGGGGAGAACGCGCCGTCGACGCACGAGGCGGCGGGGGCGCCGCTCGTGGGCGAGGCGAAGCGGGAGGGGGCGATGGAGGGCGAGGGCGAGGGCGGCGTGACGGCGGTGGAAGCCCCGGCGGAGCAGCCCGCGCCGAACGGTGCGGCCACGGAGGCCGCGCCCGCGCCCGCGGTGAACGGCGTGTCGGCAGAGACGAAGCCCGCCGCGAACGGGAACGGTACGGCCTCACCAGCAACGAACGGAACCACCCCTACCACGAACGGCACCCCCGCGTCCCCGCCCACAACCCCCGCCCGCGAAATGGAGAAAGAAAAGCCGAGCCGGATGCGCTTCCCCTCCCTCTCCGCGCGGCGCTCGCAGCGCTCCGCCTCCAGCGCGAACACCTCGCTCACCTCGCTCGGCGACTCCGCCACGCCCCCCGCGTCGCCGCAGCCGCAGTCGCCCAGGACGCCGGGGACGCCCGGGAAGGAGACGCACGCGAGCAGGGCCGCCGCCGCAGGGGGGACGGTGCGCCAGAAGCGGACGAGCATCTTCGGGAAGCTGAAGGGCATCTTCGACGCGCCGAACGCGCAGGCGAACGGGCACGGGAAGACGACGTCGAACGGGGCTTGATCCGCGTGCTCTGGCTGCGGTCGGGTGGTGGGTGGTGGGGATAGATGCATATGCCTGGGTGGAGACCCGGCGTGTTACGACTGTTTCATGCCTGTAGATAGTAGTCAGTTGGTCCGTGTTTCTTGGTCTCCAGTTTGGTTAGCCCCTTTGCAATTGATATTTCCGTAGGTAGTTACATCTTTCACTCTGCTCAGTGCGTCCGCGTGTTCCGCTGAACAGGAATGGTCGGACGGACACGTCAATATAGCGTCTCGCCATTCATTTCAGGTGTGGTTCTTGTTGACCGAGAGCGAACGATGCGCATCCGCGAAGACGAGTTCGAGAGGAAATCATTAGGGACGGACGTGCGTACTGGTTACATTCAGGTCATACAGAAACGTCAGCGGAGCGCGAACAGGTTTGCCACACTCAGAGAGCATACGGGGGCACGAAAGACGAAAGGGAGGCAACGAAGTGTCCGAACGCAGCACTGGCGAAGAGACGGAACGAAAACGGGTCACTACAGTAAACGGCGAGTCCAAGAACGAAACCCCGCCGACCAGCCAAACAGACCGCTCGCGACACCCGAGGCTACGCCTTCCCGCCCTTCTTGTCCGCCTTCCACTCCTTGAAGATCCCGTCCAGGCTCTTGTACAGCAGGTGCGACGGCAGCGAGCGTATGATCTCGCCGACGCGCTCCTCCACCTCGTGCTTCCCGTTCTCGGGCGACACGCGCTTCGCGTACTCCACCGCGAGCCGGAAGACCGCCAGCACCGCGAGCGAGACGTGCGTCTGTTGCGCGCCGTGCGCCGCGCCCGGCGAGAGCGCGGTGAGCAGCGGCCCAACGAGGTTCGGCGACGCCACCGCGGGCGTCGCCTGCTGGAAGCCCGTCCCGGACCGCTCGCCGCGCACGAGCCGCAGCAGGATCTCGAGGATGTTGTCCGTCTCCGTCATGTGCGTGCGCAGGAAGCGCTGCCGCTCCGTCTGCTGGCCGATGTTCGAGTTCTGCGCCCACGTCTCGAGCACGGTCCAGATCGTCGGGGCCTGCGGGCGACGTGAGGGTGAGATCGGGGATGGAGAGGATGAACTTGGACGTACGGGGTCGGGGTCGACGACCTGGATCTTCTTCTCCCAGCCTTCAGCTGCGTCGCCGGCTACCCAGAACATGCGGCCGAACATGCTCTTCAGCCACTCGTGGACGTCGCCGGACTTTACCCAGCGCGGCTCTGACAGCGGGCGTTGTCGATCGAGGTGCACGATCAGCGTCACCTTGGTCGGAAGCGCGGCCTTTGAGAACGGCGGCACCGTCGGATCAGCTTCAACATCTTCCGACATCTCGAGGGGCAGGTATGATGCGACCGACTCAGAGTAGGCTTCCATCTATAACAAAAAAAACATGAACACAAGACTGAAATCATGCAGAGATGTACGCACCATGATACCCTTGTATCCCCCAGCATCATCTCTTTCGACGTTGATGCACGCCTCTATACGAGCCTCGGCTCGGAATACTTTCAACGAGTCGACGATCTCAGCGTCAATCACCATTCTACGCGTGCCCCCAGCGTATGCAGCGGAGAGACGGTTCGCAGACGCGACACGGCCAGCCTTGCTGGCTTGCGAGCTAGACGGATCGGGAGCGTACGGGCCCGCGTTGGAGAACGAGGATTCGTCGCCCTGATACGGAGCGTCGTCCGTGGGCTGCGTTTGATCCATGGAAGGCGAACCGGGCGCAGTGGCTTCGCGCTCCAAATTTTGGCCCTGTGCGTCTGTATCGGGCACGGTAGAGATGAGAGAATTCGTAGCTTGCAATGGCGCAACTCCAGCCTGAGCATCACCGTTGGGAGAAGTGTTAGTGGGACCGATAGCAGAAGACATGGATGCAGAATCCGCGGAAGCAGGAATGCCAGGAGACGCAGATGACGGTGCGGGTGCAGAACCATTGACAGCATTGCCAGACGGGTCTCCGGCCTCTGAAGAAGCGTTAGGGCCGCTGGGCACCGCATTATCTGGGCCAGGTGCAGCTTGTGAGTCGACGGACATACCGCCCTGCTCGGCAGACGGCGCATGATCATCATGCTGCTGTTCGCCTGAGTCGTGAGCACCCTCGTCGCCGCCCATGTGATACTCGTCATGACCCTCTCCTTGGACGTCATCATAGCCAGAATTGTCTTTATAATGAGAGAGAAGGAATCAGTGGTGCGAACGCAGCCGTTCGAGCGTGCTCCGCGTCCGCACTGCACGGGCCCGAACGAAAGAGGGAGCTTACCATATTCGCCCTCCGCGTCTGCGTCAGGATCATGATACTCGTCGCCATTTTCATGGCCCTGCCCTCGCCCTCCCCTTCTTCGCCGCCAATGGCAGCCATGAGCCAGTCGCCCTCGCTGGCTGTTTCCTCGACACTCGGCGCGACGCTATCGCGGCCGAACGCCGTTTCAGTCCCATCCACACTAGCAACGTCGTGCTCGTGTCCCATCTCAGACGAATGCGGCGCCGGCGGGGGAGGACCACGACCATCCTCGAGATCCCCGTCATCATCCTCCAGCTTTTTACGCTTGCCCTTCCGAGAAGTGGAGGGTTGGGCGTACGGAGCGTTAGAAGAGATGAGATGCGAATCGTCAGCAGTCACAGGTGTGTGGAAGTAAATGCGAACCCGCGACGGCGGAGGAGGCAATATGGCCGTCGGCTCCGACTTAATGGCAGAGGCCTGGCTAGGGCCGGAGACATCTCCCGACCCTGACGCTGCACCTGTAGCAGGCGCGTCGGGCGTGGCAGCTACAGGCTCTGTCTTGACAGGAGAATCGCCCGTGCTTTGAGCACCCGCACCTGCAGTAGACGAAATAGAAATCGGGACGTCCTCCGTCTTGACTGGTGCATCGGCAGCATCAGACTTTGCGACACTCCAACTCCAAGAAAGCTCGGATATCTCGAGCCCGACGACCTTAAAATCGGTCAGCGTGCGTCGATTCTCCTCCTTCTTACCAGATGAAAATCCGGTAGAGGTTACGCTCGCGTTGTCTCTACCGTGAGTTGCATGAGCATCATGCCTAGCTCCACGCGTAGAGTGCGTGAAGCCTTGATTGCGGCCGCGAAAGCTACCGTTGTTTGAGTAGCTGTTCTGGTGGTGTTGGTGATGATGCTGCTGCTGCTGTTGGTGGTGGTGCGGTTGCTGCTGATAGCCTTGCTGGTGGCCTTGCTGGTGGAAGCTACCACCACCGTTGAACGACCCACCTCGACGATTGTCTCGGTTGCCGAAACCACGGTTCGGGGCGTGGCCTCTGAAGCTGCCACCGCCCTGTCCACCACCTCCGCCTCGTCCACCCATGTTGTATCCACCGCCCCGTCCACGAGCGCCACCCCTGATCATACCCGTCTGCCCACCACGACCGCGACCACCCTGATTGTTGCCACCACGCCCGGGATTGAAGCCTCCGCGGCTGCCACCCATGGGTCCACCGCCACGGCCAAAGCTCTGGTTTCCGGGACCCTGTGGCCCCTGTCCGAACATGCCTTGCTGCTGCTGCATCGGTGGAGGCGGCGGCGGTGGCTGGAACTGGGGCGGGGGAGGCACGGTTCCACGGTTCTGGTTTGGCCCATCGAACCGCTGTCGCTTCGCGGGAGGCGGCTGAGGGGGCGAGCCATGATGGAAGACTCGATTGTTTTGACGCGGCGGCGGCGGCCTCTGTTGCTGCTGGAAGAAAGGCTGTTGCTGTTGCTGTTGGAACGGAGCCGGAGCGACGGGGGGCTGATACGGCGCAGCGGCCACCTGGGGAGCCGGGCCTCCTTGTGGGACGTAGGGCTGCTGGTACGCTCCCGCCTGGGGCTGATACGGATTGTACGCCGGCTGAGGCGGAGGAGGCGGAGGAGGCTGCGCTACAGGCGGCGGTGGTTGGAAGTGCTGCTGGGGCGGGTGATGTGGATGCTGATGTTGTTGCTGCTGTTGTTGCTGCCAGTTACGATTCTGCTGGTTGCCGTAGCCGTAGTTGGCGTACAGCGCAGACTGGTCCGCGGGAGGTCTTGCAGTGGCAGCCTGAGCCGCCTGGGCGGCTGCTGCAGCTGCAGGCCATTGCTGCGCGGTGTATGTCTGTGCTGCCTGGTTATGTTGTGCTGCTGCAGCGGCTTGCCAGTACGCGGAATAATCAGGCTGCGCGGGCTGAGGCGGCGGAGCACCTGGAGGTAAAGGAGGTTGCTGAGGGGTATACGCAGCAGTCGTGACGAAGGGGTTTTTGTTCATCGTCGCCGCTAGAGTGCCAGAAAACTGAGATCAGCGGGGATCTCCAACTAAGAGAATGAGTAGAATAGGCAGTCGTCGTGGGCGATGGCGACGTGGTAGTCGTCGACAAAGGTCGGCAGGTTTTGCATCGTAGCGGAGTAAAGCGGGACGTCACCCAGCGTCACTCCGTGACACCGCCTGAGATTTTGCGTCACGCTGCACGGCTCAAACCAGGATGTCGAGGCAAAGTACGCAAAGGAATAGTACATATCGAATGAGAAGTAAACACAAGGCAGACGGCACTGTTGTCGTCGTCTTCTACGACTATGATGCACTCTCATCACCGTTTTCGACTTTTGCTTTCTTTTTCTTCTTTTTCTTCTCTTTCCGCTCTTCATCGTGAGCCGTACTGGCATCCTCCGCTGGCTGCTCTCGGCGTCGCTTACGCTTCTCCTGAACAGTGGGAGCAACATCCTCGACTGGCGCCACAAATGCCTCAGCACGTTTGGCGCGCCGCTCTTCAATGACTTGCTCTTGCTGGGAGGACGTCAGAACGAATATGGGACCAGAACGACCCAACATTTCTTACCTTTTCTTTCCGTCTTCGCTCTTCGCGATCAAGCTTCTCGTGCGCCTTGAGGAAGTACTCTCCGGACTCCAGCTGCAAGTCGATCTTCCGAGGCATCTGCGGCGGCGGGAAGGGGGTATAAACTTTCTTTGCAGGCGCCTCCTTCTTGCCCGGCCCAATCGGTTCCAAGCCCGCAGCCTTCCTCGCCTCGTTCTTCTCCTGTATCCGCTCATTCTTCCGTGAAGTTTTATCCGATGTCTTGAGGTGATTTCTGCGGAACTTGGGTAAGAAGCGATCCCATGATTCATTGGCAAGTTGGGGATCTTTTGCAAGCTCGCGCTTAATCATGAGCTCCTGGAGATGGTGGATAATGCGTGAAGATATGCGCACAACGAAGCGACGTTGCACATACCTTGATCCTGTATATAGGGTGGATGTTCTTCATGCAGTCGAGAACTATCCGTCGGACCTCTTTAAGGCCCTTGTACGGCCCCATAACACTGACAGTGCTCCCTTGGACGAGAACGTAGCATTGTGTCAACAGCTCAATGGCCTACGCCCCACTTGAGCCAAATTCTTGCAGTATGTAGCTCGTAACATACCTTGAGCGTACTGCCGTCGGGCCCAATGATCCTCTGCCTCCGCTTTACGAACCGCTCCTTATTCCGCACGATGTTGCCAACCTTGATGATATCGCAGGCTACGGCGTCGTCCAGGATCTTCACGGCTTGCCCAACGGCCACACCACGAGCGAGGAGCTTGATCATATCACGAGCTTTGAGGATGATGTAGGGGTCGTATGTTTTTCGAGTCGTCCGAACGGACATGGATCCATGGATCAGGTCGAGCGAGCAAGCTATCCCCTGTGTAGTGCGGTCAGCGGAATGCGGAGACCAAATGTATAGACACATACGTGGGCATCCAATGCCTGTGTTACAGCACTCCATACTTCACGCAAGTACTTTTCTCTGTACTTCGGGAAAAGGGTAGCGAACGAGGACTCCTCCTTGAAGGTACCGCCCTTGTTGTCTTCCGCCTTGAATGATTCAACTTTCCACTAGACGAAGTCTCAGGATCGTCAACTAGCACTCTAACGTCGCGCTTACACTGTCATTCACCGTGAGTATGGAGGACTAGACATGTCGTAAAGACGAGCTCACTGGTCAATGTCGTCCGTATCCCAAGCTATTCGAGGTTTGAGATTCAAGAAATGCTGATTGACGACGGACCTACGTACGCTTTTCCTTCCTGTTTTTCTTGTTTTTGTTCAGAATTGGCGCTGCCTCCGCAGTTTCTGCCATCGTGTCGAAACCGAAGAGCGATCGAGGTGAGGAGAAAGGCTAATGTAGCTGTTAAAGTAGAGCCTGTGCTCGGCCCGCTCATTTGCGCTTGGTGTGACGTCACGTGGTCGTGACATTGAGCGGGGCAATCGAGTGGACGAGGACACTCGACAAGACCACCACTGCTCAGACCAGTCTCAGACACATCGTCTCTTCATTCATCTCTCAACTATTCTCCTCAACCATGGACATCACTCCAGGGGTCTCAGACCTGAGCGTGGAGACGCTCTCCTACGACGACACTACGCCATATGACCAGCTCCCTCCTCCACCGCCCATTGAACCTGGTCGCGCTCAGCTCGCCGACCGCATCGGCAACACAAAGGTATATCTGCTCTCTGAAACTACGGGGACGCGGCTAGGAAAGGTGCGCTGGTAGAGTGCCTCACGGAACCCGATTCAAGAACCTAACGAGAGAGTCACCGACGACTTGCTCGACGCGCCTAACGGGACGACTTGTAGCGAAGACACGAGGATGCTGAGGAGGGAGGAGACCCGGAGGGAGACATAGAGATGGAAGAAGGTTCTTTACGCGCTCGACTGTCGTATCCGGTCTGTCTGATGTATGTCCAGAATCGCAGTACAGAGACAATGCCATTCTGCTGAGAGGCACGCCGATCTCGCATCTGCCGACACAAAGCATATTCGCCTACTCCACCCACTTCGACTCGCGCCCAATGGCACTTGAATGGATTGACGACACGACGTGCATCCTCGTCTTCCCTTCGAAAGCCGCAGCGCGGTCCGCCCATCGTCTATTGACGAAGTCCATCGCGGAAGAGCCGTCCCTCGAGGATGGCTCTGTCACCGCAAAACCCATCCCTATCACGCTCTGGCCACCCGAAGACAGGATCAACAAGAGTCTCGGGAAGAGCGAAGGGCTCAAGGGCGTTATCCGCATGCGATGGGCCCTGCGGCAGGACGTGAAGAAGCGCGGGGCAAAAAGCGAGAGCGAGTTCTACAAGAAGTATGGGGAGAAGGCCGGGAAGGTCGGCCGGGACGCTGAGGACGAGGACGGAGACGAGGGGCGGCAGCGGAAACGGCGGAGGGGCGGGGAAGTGGAGGATCGGTTGGAGAAGGGGAGGCTGGACGAAGAGCTGGATTCGTTCCTGTCCAAGGGGGAACGACCTGCGAGCCCTCCGTCGAGGATGCGCTCCGACCACATAAGGTCGAATGGGAAGTCGCTCCTGGAGCGCACGTCCGCGGCGCCCACACGGTCGCTCGCGGACCGTCTCATCGCCAATCTCCCTCGACGTGCGCGTTCCCCGCGGCGTGATAGACGTGGTGGGCATGAGGAGAGGACGGAGAGGGAACGAGGAACACCACGGCCACGGAAGACGCAGCAAGAGCTTGATGCGGAACTCGACGCATTCTTAGACTCGAGAGGTTGATCTACAGCCTACTTACACGCTAAATTATCCCATTGTTCCTTATTTTATCCCCCCCCCCCCAGTTCAGTCTTCCCTGATGTGACTCCATTTTGTATCAAGTTGTACGACGCACGACCATCCTGACCTCTGTATCGAAAGCTACCACGCACTAAAGTATGTCGCCGAGCCTGTCATACTACATGGTGTTGACCTGCGGCATATTATGCTCGTTGACACTTCGCAGGTGCGGGACTGAAAGGTTGACGAGAGATGGCACGGTGAGAAGACAATATTGAGAGCCATTGACTGCACAGAACTTGGGCGGCACGCAACGTCTATGCTGCCGAAAGTAGTACATATGCTTGCCATGTGAAGCTGAAGCTGGACTTTGAGTTCAGACTCGCACTGGACTCACACATCCACAGGCTTCATCGACATCCCTCTGAACAGCGCCATCGCCTCCGTCCTAGCAGTCAGGCATTCGTGACCGCTATGATGTTGTCTCAAGATGACCCAGATGTCAAGGTCACTGCAATCAACCCTGAGTGGCAGGCTGGTACTAGTAGTAGTACTCAGGCTGGTACATCGACGCACCTTGACGATAATCGCAACCTCGGTGCTGCGTACGCATCACACGAAAAGAAGGAGGATGTCTTTGACAACTCTATTCTATCTAGGGCTCGCGGGCTCCGTAATATCATGAGCCATATACTCTTGTTCACATATGAACAAGTGCGCCAAAACCGAGATAAGGAGTTGGTGGCGACTGGCAGGAACAGCGGTGGGCCTCATTGCATCCCTGTACAATTGCTACGACTGTGCTAATGCGCCATGGTCCCATCGAACAGATGGAAAGACAGAACCGACTGAAGATCCCGATCATTGGGAGAATGCGCAACCAGCTCGTAGTGGGACGAGCCGCGCTCTATCTGACGAGCAACTCCAGGCAGCCGCGTCACAATGGAAGAACGTAGTATACTCTACTCTCATCCATATCATACACCTCTGACGGCCTCGGGATGCTCACAGCCAATCGCGAAGATCAAAAAGGACTCTCAGTTCACATGGAGAGTCGTCGCCGACCGCATCAGCGTGGTCGGACTCGAGCGCTACCCAACAGGGCTCGACGAGGAAACGCTCAAATTCATATTCAACCGACATTACCTTCATCACCTCTACGGCGGTAGCTTCGTCGACACGTTTCCCCGGCCTGAGCAGCTCAAGGTCCAGTTTCACGGCCTCGCTGACTTCATGTGTCTCAGACTCGACTATAACCCTCACGCACCCGTCAATCCTGGAGACCCCGGACTTCTTTTCACCTACAGATCCGCCGACAGACTGAGGAACTGCGCGGGCGGAGTGAACCGGGTCTTCGTGAGGATTCAAGCAAGTCCAGCCCTATGGCAGTATATGGGGCAATACCGGTTGTACCAGTCGGAGCCACTCACCAAGGGCGAGTTTGCCAGTCAGTCTTCGATGGTATGCCATGACATCCTGCTCAATGACATGCCCTCATCACTCACTCGCAATGTATCTCTTGCCACCCAGGTTCGCAAGACGTGGGCCAGGGACGTATTGAAACGATCGAAGGGTGACGACATTGCCGTCAGGGTACACCTCCGAAAGACACACGGTAGAGAGCCATCCCTGGGGGAAGTAAACAGGGTGCTTCATGACAAGCAGAAACTGAAAGCCGCGAAGACTCGGTTGACATGGGCCGATGTCGTATCTGCTTACGAGCGAGGTGAAGAGGTGGGTCGAGCGGCCAACGGTTAAACCATGGATGCTCATTGAACACCCCAGGAAATCCGAGTCTACGCAATGAAGTGTGTCGCCTACGATGTCGATTTCCAGCGCACCCTTGCGCGCAATTACAAGCACTTCACCCCGCCCCAGCAAAACTCGAAGTCTGGGCCACGCACGAAGGCTGCCGTAAAGCGCAAGCGCGACTCGTCTGACACGCCGGAGCCGTCTGAGTCCGATCATGACGTCGTCGATGTAGAGGGAGAGGAAGAGAAAGCATCAGATAGTGAGGAGGCGCACTACGAACCAACGGGTACACGATCTCGCATGAAGCGGGTGAAGACGGAGTGATGCGTACGCTTCATGTACCTCTTGCATTTCATTTTTATTGTCATGTTCTTGTGTACTTATCGTTTCGATGGTTATGCAGTCTGTTAGTGTTGTCTCGAGACATGCTTCGCATGGGGTTTTGGGTTGTAATGTATAGCGACGATATCTGCTGGACGTTACATATGCACGAGTCGGTGGTACATATCATACCAGAGCTCACTGACGCGGTCACGCGGCAATCGCAAGACGCGACGCGGTGGTGGCGGCACCGAGGAGTAAACGTTGATCACTTGGGAGGACTTTTACGACATCACATAGGTGAGCTTCCAAGCAGTACGCGGAGTACGTTCGCCTTGGGATGCTCTCGAATGACAGGAGATGCTTGGACATCCGCTCACTCAGCCCCGGCGCCGAATCCTCCAGCTAGTGCGAACGAGTGGACAGCATGCGTCCTAGCGAGCTTCATTAAGTTCATATAGACAGATTGCCGATGTATACCGCGGATACCAACGTTCGACACGAGAAGTGGAACCATCGAAGGGACTATTCTGTATCACATATGGCCAGCGGGTCGCGGCTACGCTCAATCACATTCGGTACACGGCCTGTTACCAGTCAAGGTCACATTCATACGGCCGCAGCGCGCACCACAGAGGCTGCAGAGGTATCGAGCGCACACCGCGCTGCTGCATGCGGAATGACACGTCGTGCAGGCGCGGCAGTGCGGCAGTGCCGTTGCCACCAGCCCCGCTCCAGAACACTTCAGCGGAGGCAGCGGCGCGGGGCCAGACGATCGGGTCGAGATTGTCAGGCCCCGACTGTTCTGTCCAAAGCAGTTGCTGGCCTAAACGATGGCTTAGTTTTGGAAATATTGCCAGACGAGCCGGTATGCAGTAGACTCACCACCCATGATTTGGGAATATTGGTCAGACGTGAGGTTGGCGAGCGGATCGAATGTGTAGGCATACTGCCAGGTCTTGAAAGGATCGCACCAGCTGTTGCTGAACAGACGAGGCGAGTTAAGGCCTGCTTCGGAGGGTTGCTAAAGGACACTCACCCGGACGGGTCACCACCGACCCACTCGCCAGCGCCACAGTCCTAGACAGCGGGATGAGTCAAGGGATACACGGTGCTATGTCCGCATAACTTGCCAGATAGAAGTAGTTGGACGCTGCGTGGATGACCTTGAAGCCCTGGTCTGCCACAGCCTCGACATCGTCCGAAGAAATCCAAACTCTATAAACGCGCTTAGCTTCGTGTTATGCCTTCGCTCATTGCATACTGACAAAATCAACGTGTCGGTCGACAGCGACAGGTTGTAGTCGAGCACCATCTCTGCAGCGATACCAACGTCAGTGTCGCGCTCACTACTCGAAAACTCCAATCCATACCTTCCCATACGGCGGGTGTCTTCCCAGCGGCAGCAAGGGCGCCATGCGTCCCATGAACGTAGTCCGTCAGCGCCTCGTTGAACGTCCGCCCCGTGCTGTTCAGGTCATACTGTGTCTCTTCATCCATGTCGTAGCAGTACGTCTGGATCTCGTCGCCGCCCGTGCTGATCATCGACGACGGGAACATCTGCGCGACCGCCGTGAACAGCCCCGCACTCCAGTTCGCGACCGTCGCGTTGGCGAACCGCAGCTGGCCGGCGGGTGGCTCTGCATGAATGTTCTGTGAGCGCGTCTATGGATAGGATGAACGAAGTTTCCTTACCACCGGCGTTCGATGCCCATGGGCGAGCTAGGTAGCATGCGACGAAGTCCGGGTGAGATTCGCCGACGATGGAAGTATGACCTGGGGTATCAATTTCAACCATGACATCGATGCCTCGCTGGACGAGACTCGAATAATTAATTCTACTCTTCCTGATCACATACAGAGAGACCCACCGCGCCTGCATACGAGACGATGTACTCCACATCGCTCGGACTGTAGATCATCTGTGGCGAGTAAGCGCCATACTCGGAAAGCTCCATGTAGCCCGGGATCTGCAGAGGGAAGCTTTGGCTGTCGGAGATGTGCCAATGAAATTCGTTGATCTGCATAAAAGTTGGAGCACTCAATCGTACTCGGCAAAACGAAAGTGGCACTGACCTTGACCAAACTCATCGCATCCAGTGTCCTCAGTATGTCTAATACCGGGAAACTATGGCAGTGAGGTAAGGTGTGAGTCATACCTCAGTACAGCGGATAGGACGAACTAGTTGCGCGCCGTATCCAGCATGAGGCCACGGTACGGCTGCGATAGTCAGTATCACTACTGTCCATGCCCAGGCAGTCGAGACGGCGAGCGCGTACATAGGCAGGCGCATCCTCGATCTGGACAGGCGTGTTCACCGCGTATACAGTGTCTTCGTATTCATACCATAGTTGTTCAAAGGTCGTCAGACCTCTGAGAAGTCCGAGCGTAGATGTCGCTGTAATTGAAGCAGCGCTACCGTTGGACGGGACGGTCAGCGTGTACGCCTCATCTCTGGCCTCCAGAGGCTTCTGAGCCTCGACAGTGACCGATGCGACTTCAGACCCAGGTTCGAGAGACAGCGTGAGTGTAGACAAGTACGCCGCCGTTTCGAACGCGCTGACATCGCCTGCGCCGCGACCCACGACGAGTCTTCCCAAGTTGTCCGTAAAGAGATGGGTTCGCGTCCGGAAGATGGCGTCGTATAGGTCCTGGGGCGGCTCAACGATGCCGGAGGAGAGTACGACATCGAAGTTCTTGGACAGACGGAGGGCAGTCGTGCCCTCTGTGAGGTTTCGAGGCAGCGGCCAAAGAGCGCTGACCTGGGCAGCCACCGAGAGGACAGACAGCAGCGAGATCTTCATCTGCATGATCGACCTCTCCTCCTGCCCTCGACTCGCATCGCTCTTTATACACCATCTGTCAGCTAGACACATCAAACAGTGCCGTTATCGAGACCGCATGCCCCGCTTCTGCTGAAGATAACCCGGGAATTGCTCTCTCGTGGTCTCGAAATACATCGACACGAGTTTTGTGCCGCGCAAGTGCCGCGAGTCCATCGGGAAATTCGCCTGGACGTCCTCTCCCAGGCCCGCACCATGATTGACCTCGTCGTAGAAGAACAACTGGATGAGCTCGACCCCCTCCGGCACCTTCGCGACGACCCCGACCTCGACGCTGACCGCGCAGGCATCGTGCCGGCCCAACCGCCGTCCATCCTCGGCCAGACCATCGGGCTCGTGTTCGCCGGCCCATCTGCAGGGGAGGTCGACGGTGGTGATGTCGCGATTACGCTTCTGGTGGATGCGTCCCCGGGGTGCGGCGGGATTGCTTGGCCCGCAGGGGAGGTATGTGTTATGCGGGTCTCTGAAGGTTCACGGGCTGACGTAGAGCGCGGGATAGGTGCTCTCGCGGTACATCGCGCGCAGAGGCTCGCTCGAAGGCCGGACTGTGCTAGAACTCGGAAGTGGGACGGGCCTTGTAGGGCTCGTCGCGGGGAAGATGGGTGCAGAGGTGTGGATCACGGACCAGGCGTGCGTCTCATCTATCCTTGTCAACTCTGCGCATTCGCACCTGGAATGGCTGATTCAACCGATCTTGTGCAGACCGCTTCTTCCTATCATGCAACGCAATGTAACCACGAACGACCTCTCCTCGCGTGTGCATGTCGCCGAGCTGGATTGGTCTGTCATCCCCTTTACTTAATATATCTCCTGTTCCGGATCGTGCCTTCTGCACATCACGCAGTCCTACTCTACATGTGTGCTAACGCTGCTCATAGGGCAGGGGCTCACCGCTCCCACAGGACATCCCGCGCCCATCTCTAATCCTCGCCGCTGACTGTGTCTACTTTGAGCCTGCATTCCCGTTGCTCGTACAAACTCTCGCCGAGCTCGTCCCGCGTGGCTGTTACGCTGATTACGGCGACAATGTAGAGGTGCTGTTCTGCTACAAGAAGCGGCGAAAGGTATGCACGAAATTCGCAGGCTCGTGTCCGCTGATGGAGAATAATTGATGTAGGCCGACAAGCGGTTCTTCACGCTGTTGAAGAGGGAGTTTACTTGGGCTGAGGTGCGTGTTCCATCCTCGCTGTCACCGGTGCTCAGATAGAACGCCTTTGCCTTTTGCAGGTCACGGACGACCCGGACCGGGAAGTGTATGCTCGCGAAGCAATATCGCTCCTGCGGCTCACGCGGAAATGCTGAACGACGTCGTCACGAACCTAGCAGCGTGCAATATAGGGTAGGTCTGCTATTGCGGGGCACTCGGAAGAGTGTTCGAACTTTGAGTTCGCCAGAGGCGGGACGTCGAATGGGAAATGGGAAGTGAAGGAACATACGTGTATGACGTACGTGTACGATACGCAGAATCTATTAACACCGGAGTATAGTGGTGGAGGACACTAAGGACACGCACACGGGCCGTTGACACGCTGCTTCACGATGATGCTTAAGGTTTTGCGACTGGCTGGATTGCCCGAAAACAGGAGAGGCGGAAGTCATACTCGTGAACAATATCTCGCGGCGGCTGGTTTCATTGCATTCAGGACTTTGCTGAGCTTGATGTTCAAGCTAAGTGACCAAAAACGCAACATGAGTCAACACACTTGTGAGGAATATCGTTCTAGTGCGGTTCTTTCTATGGATGCATAAGGAAACTCACTACCTCTGGCGGGCGACTGAAGGTAAGAAGTATGCAATACGAATACAGACGTTATAGATTACATCGTGAGTTGTGCGTCACTTCATTGTCTGTTGATACGACGTGTGCCATCTGAATGAAACGATGCGTGCGCTACATCGTCTCCTTCGTGACTGGCAGCTTGACGGTATAAATCCCAGCAGCCTCTGGACTACTAGCAGGCAGGCGAACCTCCAGCAGTTCGGAGTCGGTATCTGGTTCTTTCTTGTGCCTAGCAATTGGAACCACTCAGTCACCACACACCGCGAAATGGATTCATGATGAGAGAAGCTTACGTTACTATGAGGTGCGTCATTGCGGGTGACCAAAATTCCAGGTACTTATGCGGGCAGATCTTGCAGGCATACCGACTCGCCTTCTTCCGTCTGTCTGCCTCACAAATCTTTGCCTGCACAACCTCTTCGGGAGTTGCTAGCCGCAATGGGCCATTTGAGTGGTTGTAGGTGTCACTCCATACCATCTATTAATGCGGATTCACGGATATGTAATGACGCCAAGAGATAAATCAGACTCACTGCCGCACGCCAAGTCATACTGTGGCCATCGTCCCTCATAAACCTGACATCCAACTCGTCCATCTCTTTCGCCGTCGCCGTCTCTGAATTCTTGCCACAGAGCTCCATGAGCTGTCGGACTAGCTTAGATGGCTTGCCCGAGACGCGTATGCTGATCGAAATGGCCTGCTCGAAAGGCCAGTCCCATGCGAGTAGCTTAGAGACATATTCCGCATATGCATCCGCCTTTACTAGCTGGGGTAGATCCCGGTGCAAACAATTGTGCTCCGTGAGGCTTGGGTAGAAAAGACCACAGTTGTGGCAATTCGCGGAAGTGCAGTGAAACGTTGTCGTCGCAAGTTCCAATACATCCACGTCGCCTCGCAAGCCTGCTCTAGTCGAGGTTTTGTCGACCTGCACAGATCTAGACGCATCCACCAGTGCACGTAGTTCGCCACGCACACGCGCGTCCCACTGCTTCGCGCGCATTACCACCTTTTTCTCCAATGCCGCGAGGCTGTCCTTGTTGACTTGCACCTCCACAGGAGCACACATTATCTCGCGGATTTCCGGCATGAGCGCGATGTCGCCGAGTCTGAGTCCGTAGCCCAGTACTTCGGGATGTTCCTTGAGATCCAACAGGGTATTTTCCATGGCGTGCCAGCGTCGACTCAGCCTCTGCGTCAGTTCGAACGCGAGGCGCTCTTCCCGTAATTCCTGCATGCACTTGACCATATCCTTGCGTATGTTTTGCCAAACTGATGTACACACTGATGTCAGTATTGGCGAAGAAGAGCATTTTGGGGTGCGCACTCCGGTCTGTGAGCTTCTCAGCAACCACAACATGCTCATGTTGATAGAATGGCGCGTTATTGTTCTTCTTGATATAGTCAAGCTCGGGACCCCACCCGAGGGAGCACAATCTCGACACAATTCTAGATGTCGGAATCACTCAATTTGGAATTGACGCCACAGAGCACCGACACGTACTCCTGAAGACGTTCTGCCTTCATTTCGGCTTGCTCCTTCTTGGTTTGTCTTTCGGCCCAATCGACACAAAGTGAGGCATGCTACGCACCAGAGGTTATAAACGATACGAGGACTGTTGTAATGACGCAAGAACTCAATCCTTACCTTTGCGATCCTCTTCACCCGCAGTATCTCAGTGCCGATAAACAACGCTAAGTCGTGGTCATCATTGGCCTTCACTAGGTTCTCCCACGTATACATGAGCCTTTTCACCTCAGACCGCAGGTATACCTTGTCAGTTTCGCGGTGCCTACCAATGTAGCACTACAGGAACTGGTGATCAGCATAGAAAGATGACCATGATGACACTGCGAGCATACCCTATTGAACATATTCGCAGGTACGTTGTCCCATTGATCGTATCTCTCATCAAAATCAGATTGACTGCAGGCAACGCTGCCACCACAACATTTGGTTAGTAGCTAGTATATGCTAACGGATTCATGGGATTACTGACTTCTGGGGAAAGCAATCCTTGCAGAAACGCGCGTACAATTCCCAGAGCGTGTCTGTAACATTGCCGGTTCCACACGCCTATAGAGTACAACGGAATTACGGTGAGTGACATAGAAACCGCACTGTTAAGCAGAAATATGACTTACAGTGCAATGTGTCGAGAAGAGGAACGAAGCCCATGCAGGCTCATTGAGGTGATTAGGACGCGGAGGCAAGTCTTGCACGTTCTTCAGGGTCTCCTTCCATACGTATGCCGAGCTCTTCATCATCAACAACCCGTGCAGTGGTTTCGACGACCATGATAGGCTGAGCAAGTCTCGTGGATGAAGACGCCGGAATATCTGCGCGCATGAAAACGGTTTCCTGAGACCCGCATATGCAGATACCTTGAATACGTACCTCAAACACAACATCAATCGGCATGTCGAGCATGCCTTTGAGGCCACCGCGACTTCGCCCGCGCGCGGGCTTGCCGCCGCGCTTTCTCTGCGCTCCCACTTTCCGAGTCGTGGTTGAGCTGCCCTTTACATCCGCAGACGCAGTTGAGCGTTTGACTTTCTTCGGGAGCATTCCGGTGTAGCTGGCTCAAGAATGGTCGGTGAACGTAACGTTGGAACGTAAATAGAAGCCAGAGCAAATAACTTGTCGATGTTCTGCTTCAAGTCGTTCATTGCGACGCGCAACAGTCCGCGTTTCAGTTGGCGCCTTGGCCACAGAGCCACACGGTCACGCGATTGACACATGGTGAACGCGGTTGTGGCAACTATCATAGTTACTAATATAGACTCTCGGTGAGAAAGGTCAACTAGCAAGAACAGTTGTGCGGAACATATGGGGGACTTCAAGCTTCAAGCTTCAAGATTCGGTAGCATGCATTGAATGTGTACATCCGATCAGTGTCCATACACGGTCATTGACTTCGCTGTCGTTTTCGTCAATGTCAAAGCCAATAGCAGGGTGATGCCGGAGAATGTCGAGGAAGATGACTCGGAACTTGAAGAACAAAAAACAGTGAAACTACACTGTCTAGTGGCCTTGCAGCTTCACCTGATAGACACCGTTAGCCTCCAGACTATCAAGTGCCCCGGATTGTAGTAGACTCTCCGAGCGCGCTGCAAGGGTCGGCACTCTGATGTCGTTCCTACGTAGTGATCGGTCAGTTCATTTAAGCTGTTCGATGTCCAACACAGACTAGTACTTACTTTATCCTGGGGACCAACCAGGACTTTCGCGCCTGAATCCCCAATTCGTGTTCCTTGGCGTCGGCAACCTCATAGGAAGTCGCGAGACGCCAGCTCTTGATGCTGCTCGGACGTGTTTGATGGAACATCTGACGACCGATGTTCGACGTTCAGTGTTCAAAAAACTCGAAGTGAAGAATTGATGAATACCGCAGATCGCCAGGTCATGACATCCTCATTGTTTCTCACGAAACGCACATCCAGTGCATCCATTTCCTTCGCAGTTACCACCTTTGGGTCCATGCCGCAAAGCTCTATCAGCTTGAGAGCATCAGCAGATGGCGCAGATACACCGAGTCTGTCGAAGCAGATGGCCAATAGATGGCCGTGGTTTTTGAACTTTTTGGAGAGGAATTGGCCGTATACGTCATCGTGTCCTCGTTGGAATAGTGGAGCACGCAGACATGCATGTGCGAGAGCACCTGGATAATACAGGCGGTGGTTGCAGATGAGGCAGCGGAAGCTCGTCGTTGCCAGCTCTAATGGGTCCACAGTGTTTCGTGTGTCTGCCGCGGTGAGCTTTGCGGCCGAGCCGCCAGACTGGCGCGGCGTGAGCAGACCACGCAGGTCATTGCTGACATATGACACCCATTCCTCGACCACCTGGCCCATACATCCTCGCAGCGCCGTGAAGTTGGTAAAGTTGACTTCCTCGTTCTCGGGAGCGCACATGATCTGGCGGATTTGCGGCGAAAGCGCGATGTCGCCTAAGCCGAGGCAGTAAACCTGCGCCTTTGAGTGTTGTACGAGTTCCTCGAGGGCAAACTCCAAGTCTGGCCAGCGTTTGGGCAGACTGTATCTCAATTCGTGCTCGAGACGCTCTTGCCTGGTCTGTTGCATGCACTTGACCATGTCCCCGCGCATGTTCTGCCAAGCTAGGCAGGTTCATCGAAGTCAGTGTGAATACACATGTTCGTAGGAGAGGGCGAGCAAATGACATACCACGGTCTGAGAGCCTCCTCGCCGCACGCATCTGTTCGTGCTTCCTTATCGGTGCATAATCCTTTCGCTGTAAGTAATCGAGCTCGGGGCCCCACCCGATACCTCGCAGCCTAGAAATAACACTACCGTTCATGGCAATCAGTCTGGAAATGATGTTTGTGTATTTTGCCCCATCTGCTTACTCTTCAAGGCGCAACTGGACTTGTCTGTCAGCCCAATCACAACAGAGCGTGACATGCTGTGTATTGTAGTAGTAAGTGATCATTGAAAAGTGAGCTACGATTAAACATCACATAGATCAGATGGCCTACCTTCTCGACTTTCTGTACCTGCAAAATCCGTCTGCCGATAAACATTGCCAGTTTGTCTTCGTTGTCGATCTTTACGAGCTTCTCCCAGTTGTCTAAGATATCCTGTACTTCAGACCTCAAGAGAAATCCGGGGTAATCACTTTTGGGATAGTGACTCTATCGGATGCAAGGGTGGGTCAGGATGACTGTCATCTCGGTGACAGGGACGCACATTAAACATATTGAATGGAACACCTGCAAATATGCCCCCTTTCTCCTGGAGTGCGCGATCATAACTATCTTCGTCCATGAGCCTGTTCAAAGGGAGACGCAAGAAGGTGAGGCAGAATCGTTGTGATTGAATAATACCACATTTACTTCGTACTGCTGCATTGCTTACAAAAACGGGCATAGAATTCCCATACTGGCACCGGAATGGATCCCGTTCCACATGACTGACATTCAGCGAACGTTGACATCAACTGGCAATAATGGAAGTGAAGCCATCACTCACCGAGCAATGCGACGAGAACAATAGAGAAATCCATGCGGGCTCAATTAAGTGCTCTGGACGCGGAGGCAGGTCTTGGACACTGCTCAGCGATGCTTTCCATATAAAAGCTGAGCTTTTCTTCATGAGAAACGCGTGGAATGACTTTGAGCTCCATGAGAGCCTCAGCAAGTCGCGCGGGTGAAGACGCTGCATGATCTACATGCGCAACGTGAGTTCATATACCGAGGATAAAAGACCGTTACTCACCTCGTAGAGAATATCCGTTGGCATGACTTTGAGACCGCCATGCGTGCGCCTCCGCACGGTGCCGCCATTGGCACCCTTCACAGGCACTGAGTCGGATGCAGCTGTTCGTTTGGTTTTTCTGGCGTGCATGTCGAGGTTATATACGTTTAGATGAGAGCAAATCGGCGAGACAAGAGGGAGAAGATGGCCAGCCTGGGGCAGACGAACTTGAAGAGTACTCAGGCTGTCTACTCAAGTCTCAGCAGGTCGTCACAGTCAACTTGAGCGCAGCGTCACACGACGCGACGCGGTCGCGTCTTTGACACGTGATGCAACGCGGTTGTGGCAACTCTGGAATTGCCACGTCGCCGCAAAAGGACGCGGCTCTCGAACGTTCGGACACCTATGTATGTGCTGGGGCCACTGATACTCCCATGCTCCTGCGAACCCGCTCACCACACATCTGGTCATAATCCAACGGAGGAAGGGTAGGCGCCTTGTCATGTACCAGATCTAGCCTAGCCAGGGCTTCGACGGTCCCTGCCAGGCAACGTCGCAGCCATGTGTGTACGGCCTTTCCTTCGTCCGTCTTCCTGACAGTGACGTAGTTCACGGCTGATGTCATAGCTCAGACAATCGGGGACACGTCCGCGACGTTATAAGGCGGTTTCAGCATCCAGCTGTACGTTGGATCTTCGGCTGCGCACGTACAGCATCTTACCTCTCACCGTCAACACTCGACGAGGGAATTTCCGTCTATCACCTGTGATATGCAACAAGGCGCGCAAAGCTGGTGACTATATGCAGGATTCATGGCATGAAGGTGCGTCGTCCAACACTACATGACGAGGGCCTATGGGCCGAGTGGCTGTCGCTATTGCGGCACTGGACGATCTCGCTCTCGCTGAATCCACGTTCATAACTTACCCCAGTACCGTTTCTTCCCCACGACCTGCCGAGGCCTTGAGCTGTTCGCTTCGATCAGCGCTGGTTTCGCAGGACTACTCGACTCCGGGTCGATGATGACGTCGCGTCTATCATCCCGTGCCGTTGGCCCAGTGGCTTCCGCGCACAATACCTAAGTTACACACAACTCAGAACTCGCAAATCGGCCTCAACTACGGTCTTACCTCTGGTGCGAGATTGTAGGATGCGGTACAGTGCACTGCCAAGTGAGTGTTCCAAGCGGTTCATAAAAGTTCATCTAACGCTCTCCGCTGTACTGCTCTCACACCGGAGCAATGGGTCCTGCCAGGTGCTTCCTACTCAGCGTCTTCGTCGCCTAGGCCTCTGCTTGCATACCGGGTGCACGCTGGGTACACTCTCACGATCATCGTCTGACGTCGACCCTGCAAGCGAGTATCGCTAGATAGAAGATTCTGGACCATTGCGGTATGTCATATATATAATTTCCCGCCGACGTCATTGCTACATGTCTTCGCTATATGAAGCTCACTTCCGTGCAAATGTTTGAGGTAGAATTCAAACGCATTCGCAGCGCCGGAGAGCTCGAGGTGTCGTTGGTCCTCGGTTTAGTCTTCCTGCGCATTGCACCAGACTCGCTCGTCATAATACATGGCTCCGCCGTGCGTTGTTCCGATGTCGTCCTGTATGTGTTCGAGGCTGATCAGGGCAAACTTCAGTTTCGAAGTATTTCCAGACGTCTGTACGAGGAGTGTCCGGTCGTTCAACGTTCAGCCTCAACCCGCCTATCGACGCAGATGATCTCGTAACAAGAGGCTGCTGGTCATCAGTTCCTCGTATTCTGCTTTCGCGCGCCAATACTCCTGCCAAAACTATACTTACTGTGCGCTGCCGCCAGAGGGAGCTGCGCGTACTCACTGCGAGCGAGCCTATGTACTCTAACAGCGCTCCGATATCATGAGATGTCGTGAGGACCAGGCGCCTGACATTGTTGCATTGCGTATCTCTTCATGGTGAGCTCTCGAGTCTTCCGCAGAGGTGGTAATCAATTGAGATCTGATAACGTTTTCTGTCATGCTAGCACTTATTGGCGTTCTCAGCCTCATTGAGAATGTCTATCTTCCTGCCCGCGAACGTCTGTCCTTCATCAAGTTTCGTAGGTGTTCCACTGTTCACACCAAATCTCTGAGAAGCCCCCTGACCATGCCGAACGGGCAATTGACTTGCGTTTCGTGTCAAATGATGGCACGAGCACTGCAGTTACTGCCAGGACTATCCACCCCGCCAACACCAGGACTTGCGCCCACTCACATATTGGATGAATAGACTGTATCTGCTGTGCGCTAATCGGGGCGCGTCCTCGACGTCACTGACGGTCCTTCTACTTACCAAACTCAGTTCACTTGGTACGGACTTCATCAGTCGAATTGTTGTACATAGCGCTATATTCGGCATTGACACGGCACTGCATTCGTCACTACAGTTTGATAGGACCCCCGCGTGGTTTGTGCCGAAGAGAAGCGCGAATGTGGTCTGGATTCGTTCATTATACATAGCACAGCGCTTCTCAAGAGTTCGCTGTCGGTAAGTCACCTTCTACTTACAGTCCCATCTGGCGGTAAGTATGTGTGGAATCGGAGTCTAAGCTCGGCCTCGGTATTGGGCTTAGTCACAGCGACTTCTTACATACCACGTACTTACTTACCGCAAGTCGATTACTGCGAATGCTGCTGATGCCTCTCATGCTTTTTAGTGACCTTTGTTGCGTATTCCAGCTCATCGTACCGGGGTTTGCTACCGGCTCTGTGTGTATCATCGGACGCGTTCATGTGCAACAATGGTGAGTACCGTCTGGTTTCTGGCCCATGACAGCCTGACCTTCCGGATTTTCTAGTACTCGGAACCCCTGGTCGAGAAGAAGCTCGAGAGCCTCTGACTCCACGCCCTCGGCCAATCTTACGGCATACAAAATGAGCGACACGGGTGCTGTACTGCCCTCGTAGGTGCCGCCGCGATCGACCAGTATACATCTCGTAGCTCGGCGGATTCAGGTTGTTGGATCTGCTCACAATGGGAAACTCCGTGATGAAAAGCAGAGCACCGGCGCATCACTCAGGATTCAAGCCATCCGTGCAAGACATGTGGCCCGGCGGATGCGCAGTGGCCGCGTTCAATTTGGAGCAACCGTACATTCACAGGACAATCGAGCGGCCGTCAGCAGGCACTTGGCAATCGGTGTCACCGAAGTTGACGGAGTCTTCTGGCAACTGTGCGCGAGAGATGCAGCCAATGGCACCGCTCCCGTTGCACACGCATCAAGCTGTGCACCGATCCCAAGATCCCCGCGATTCAGGCCCGACGGAGCCTCTCGCGCACTATAGACCACGGTATGTGTGACCTACGCCTTCGTCTTGCGTGGATATTCACCGACGGTTTTTCGCGATGCTCTTGCGTTCCATGTTGGTGAGGGAACTGGCACTGGCAGGTCTGTGCGGTCTACTCACGGCACTCGGAGCCAGGTCACCTTCAGCCATGTGATGTCAATCTCGAGGACAAGACACAGGTGTCAGCTGCATCCCTGGCTCTTATGTCGAGCCACCGGATTACGTCCTCCCTCGGACCTCGGGGTCAGACATTCGGATCTCATACGGGCTTCTGCGTCCCAGACAGAAGTTCCAGGTCGCCGGAGGCACATCAAGGTCCGCTGCACCTGCGGACGCATCGTACTTAACCATTGAAAGATCACAGGAACATACCATATACGATCAAAGTAGGCAACTCGCCGGTATCAGATACAAGCCACATGCAGTATCGCTGGACGAGTTGTTTTCGCGGACAGAGGCAGTTGACCAGGCAGACACGTGGACCACCACCCCGAGCTCGAGCAGCACAAGTGGCCCCGCGGCTAACCTGTGACATCGCAGGGATCTGCAAACACCAGGGCCGTAGCCGTGTCTCAGAACCTGCTGGAACTGCACGTCGTGTCCGCAAAAGGCCCATCATGCATGTCGATCGCTATCGGCCGGCCGTGCTGGCTTGGCCGCCTCGCGAAGCGTGCAAAGTCGCTGAGCACCGGGGCTACCCCCCGATAGGACCCATCGTGCACGGGTGGACGGCCGCTCCAGCTTCTCCCCTCCAGAAGGCTCCGTCCACGTTCCGCGCCGTCCGCGCTTCTGTCCTCACAAGGCGTCGTGCATACCATTCACAGTGTAGGTTTACAGTTCTTCGCGCATGCACGCTGCGTATCGTTTACAGTTCACAACGAATGTCCGTGACGAGCGGTCCCTCGGAGAGACGCAAACGAGTACTATGACTGTACAGAGAAGACGGGTGTGGGAATACGGACATTAACAAGGAGCTCGTACTATACAGTAGACAGACCGCCGATGTCAGCTGTCCGACCCCATTACGTGCGGGACTGGGCGAGCGCGCCGTCGACGGCCGGGAAACCCTAAAAAGTCTATGAAACCATGATGCGGAAGGTCCTCAGCGTATGCGTGATGTCTAATGTGGATTTCCAGAGAACAGCGAGCAGACGACGACAGATGCAGTGCGAGAGGACAGACACAAACAAATAGACAGAGACGAGGACAGACACAAGGACGGAGCAGAAACGACGAGACGGCCAGACAGAGGAGACGACGATACTACCCGAAGTAAATGTATCATAAGTCATGAGAGAGACGTGCATGGGTGGTGATGATTACTGAACATTCGGACCTGCGAGCATGAGATCCGGGCGGGGTGGACCAAGCCGCCCCAGCCAATCCGTCCTTTCCGAGCGCGAACCGAGCCCGCGTGGGGCGACTGTGGAAGATGCTGATGAAAGGAATTGATAAAAAATTGCTGACGTGCCGAGAGTGAACTGAAATGCATGTGGAATGACAGGAAACGGGGCGAGACCAACGCGGTCGGGGTCGGTGGTGATCTGGACGTGGATTCGTTTTGCGTGGTCGGTAGGCGCTGTGCTCGGGATTACGCGGGGTCGGCGGGGTGAGAGGGCGGTGCAGTGTTTGAGCACTATCCAAGCACTGACGTGTGGGGGGAGCGAGCAGCAGAATCGAGATGGACAATACGCGAGCACTGGTGTACGTGTCGCCACACTGAAGTACACACACTCCGGCTTCCGGGCCGGAAGAGGTATGCACTTCTGCGGCGTGAGGTGCAAAAGTGAAGCCTTGAACAGCCAAAAACGATGCAGGGTGGATGAACTGGAAATGGGGGTGTCTGGGCGGGGGCAATGCAGAAACGGTGGGACAGGGAGTCAAGCAGCGAGCACATCGCCGGCAGCGTTTGCGCCAGCGTCGCCGACTATGGTTTCGGCGTCGCTCATGCCCGTCGCGTCCGACATGATGCTCTTCGCCTTGTGCACCGCGAACTTTGGGGAGTGCCGTCTCTGCTCCAAAGCACGTGATCAGCAAACCCAGCATACACCCACAAACCAAGCTCGAAACACGCACCGACTTGCGTTCTTTGTGTCCTGGAGACGTCCGGTCCTTGTCGCGCTCCCGGTGCTCCTTCTCCTTCGGGCTCGTCCGCCCGCTGCGCTTGGGTGATGTGCGCCCGCGCTCCTCCGCCACGGGCGACGACCGACGACTGCCACGGTCGCGGTCCTTCCCCTTCTTCTCTTCTCTCTGCTTCTCCTTTTCCTTCCCCTTCTTCTCCTCCTTCTCGCGTTCCGCAGCGACATACCGCACGTGGTCTTCGTCGCGCTCGCGATGCGCCGCGACGAGCCCCGCAATATGCTTCTTCTCTGCCTGGCGCTGCTCCCGCTGTTCGTAGTGGTGCCGCTCCTTCACCTTCTCCACCTCGACCGCCCGCTGGATCTCCTCCGGCGCCCTCTCGACTTCAGCAGCAGCCTCAACCACATTCGCAGCTGCGAGGGCCTCCTTGACCTCCATCGGCGGCTCCTCCTCCTCCTCCTTCCCGAGCTCGATATCTTGTTCCGGCGGGCTCGGCGTCCCACCCCGTCTCCGCGCACCTAGCGCAGGCATGAACATATCCATGTTCGTCATCGTCCACGCGAACCCAGGCTCGTACAGCTCCGCGAAGCTCAGCGCGTGCGTGTCCTCCGCCGCCCGCGCGTGGTGCTGCACGACGTGCGCGGAGACGTTCAGGCGTTCCTGCGTGCGTTCCGCGAGGAGGCCCGCGATCCGGTCGTCCGTGCGCTTCTCGCGGTCCTTGTCCTTCGCGCGGATCTTGGGCTTCGTCGATCGCGCGTTCCGCGCAGCGTTGCTCGACAGCTCGGGCGAGTCGTCCCTGCTCGAGTGCGCGCTGGCGACCCTCGACGAGTCCGGTGTCCGGCTGCTCAGCGAGGACGGTGTCCGTGGGAACGGATACTCGGCCAGCATCTCGGACGCGTCGCGCTCGCGGTCCTTGCCCTTCTCCAGTGCGCGCCGTGCCTCGGGGGAGGAGGCGAAGCTCGTGGTCGAGAGCGACATCGACCGGGACGGCACGATAGACGGGGCGGCGGATATCGCTGTCGAATCGGACGAGCTGAACAGTGGTGGGGAGAGCGACGATCGGCTTGTGGAGGGAACACCGAGTCCCACTGCGGCCGCCGCGTCGCCCTCGCTCATGCTCCTGCCCTGGAAGGTGTTCATGCCTGTAGGGACGCTCGGGTGGGCGGCGAGGGGAGAGGTCGGGGAGGGTTTCTGGCCGAGCGGCCACTTCTGGTACTCCCACATGCTGAGTTTCTGGACGGCGCTCGGGGGCACGAAGACGATCGGCGGGAAGGGCGGCGGGTCCGTGGGCGTGAGCTGGGCAGCCCGGTCAGAGAGTGACGCGCTACAGAGCGGCAGCATACACGCACCTGCACGGACGCGGTGCCCATGTAGTTACTCGGGCCGGGGATCTCCTGCCAGTCCGGAGAGCTCGCGGGGCTGGGCGTCGCGCTGCTGCCGTTGAGGGAGCCGACGGAGCTGGCGAGATGGACGAAACCGGCGGCGCGCATGTTGGGGCCGAGGATCCTGCGCGAGTCCATGGCACCCTCGCGGTGGCGGGCGAGCTGGGTCGCGGAGAGGGCGGCCGGGGCGCGATGGCTGCGGACGGTGCCCCCGGAGGTCGTCGAAGCCGACGCGGTGGGCGACCTGGAGCGGCGACGCCTGACGGGCGGGGGCGGGGGCGGGCTGATGGCGTGGGTGCTGGAGCTGGCGGACGAGAGCGCAAAGGGCGGGGCGAGAGGCGTGTGCTTGGTGCGGGATGAGGTGAAGACGAAAGAGGTGGATCCGCCGCCGGGGCTGGTGGGCGAGGACGCGGGGCGGTAGACGAGGGGCGCGGGGAGGGGCTTGGGCCTGCAGTCGTCGAGGTTGAGCGGGGGCGGGGGTGGGCTCTTGCGCTGGGGCGACCGGGGTGGTGGAGCAGCGACGAACGCTGCTGAGCTTGGCCCGGCGGCGAAGGAGCTCATCGTGGGCTGTGGCTCTCAGACGAGCGTTGCCGGTCGCGCGGTGGGGAGGGGAGGGCGGGCGACGACGGGGCGTGCGTCATGCAGGCGTGCGGGGGAGTGAGAGTCAGTTGAGCCCAGCGCGGGATGGACGGTGGATGAGTGCGGAGGGAGGGCAGCAGGCGTCTCCGCGTCCTCTTTTGAGAAAACGGCGTCCGTGTCTGCGCTGCAGAACGTGTGGGAGGAGGAGGCACGTTGGCTCCCCGGGGGTCCTGTGTGACGCGCTCGCGCACAACGCGCGCAACCAACCCGGGGCTCCGGACCAGGCTCCGTGCCAGTCCAGACTCGCCCACCACGCGTCGCACGTGAGCGGCGCGTTCTATCTTATCTGCGCGACGCTCCCGTTCGGGCGCACGCGTCCATATATGCTCCCAGCTTCGCGCGCGCCCCTGCTCTGCTATCGCTCTCTGCATCGTCCTGCTGCTCGGACGCCCCATCGGACGACCACTTTCCTGCGACTACTAGCGACCATGTCTGCCCAGACCGTCGAGATCGCCGTACCCAAGACGGGCAGGAAGATTCAGGTCCCCACGGGCCTCTTCATCAACAACGAGTTTGTACCATCCGTCGACTCGAAGGAGTCCATCGAGTGCGTGTCGTCGGTGACTAGCCTGCCAATCCCCTTTCTCGCCGCCGTTGCTGCCACGCCGGATCCGCGGAGCATCGCACGGCGCGGCGTCTTCCGTCGTGCCACCGTCATTCCCCCGGTGTTCTTCCCGCCTTCTGGCCGCACACGCTGACCTGTGTCGCAGGTGCGTCAACCCGGCCACGGAAGAGGTCATCTGCTCGGTCGCTGCAGGTGCGTACTCTCCTTCACACAGCACACCCGCTGTCTGGACTCGGCCCCGCGCTGGGCGGATGATCGCCCGCCTCCGTGCCCTGCATGATCAGGGACATGGATCGCCGTCGGTCGATGTGCGTGGAGCGGTACCTGCGGCGTCTTGCCGCAGCCTGCCCGCCCGCCAGCCCGACACCGATCGCCTGCCAATCCAGAGTACACCCAGCGCGGCACATGACGTCGTCGCACACCGTTGTGGGGCCCAGCGTCGCCGCGCGCACAGCGAGTGTGCCGGCGCCCGACGCATTGGCAGGCTTCCCCGCAGAGTCAATGCGCGCCCCTTCTGGCCGCGGCCTGTGCGCGACACCGACTTGTCTTCGGTGTTTTAGGTCGGGGGTGCCTCGAGACGTGTGCCGCGTACCGTCGCGTCGGTGCTAGCCCTCTTTGCACGCACCGCCTGCCTTCTCTGGTCTGTCCATACATGCCACCCCGCCGCTTCTCTTGTTCTCCGTGTCGGCGCCGCTGTCCGGCAGCCCTCTCGACACGCCGCCTTTGCTCGCCCCCCTTCGCCCGCCCTCCGTGTCGGGTCCGCGCCACCGTCTCGCGATAGTCTCCGAAGGGGTGCGCGGTGTCCTGGCCCCGTCTTCCCGCCGGCGCAAAGAGGCTTCTCTGGTGGGATTGTCGCCTAGGCCCGTGTATCGGCTACTGGCTGCGACGCCACCCCTACATGTCTCCAGCTACGAGGGGCCATCTCGCCCTGCGACGCGGCCGCCTTCGCACACTCTGCGACCCACTGCGTCATCCTTGAACTGACCCCCTCTACAGGCTCCGCCGCGGACATCGACCGTGCCGTTGCGGCAGCGCGCGCGGCGTTCAAGACGACGTGGGGGAAGAACGTCACGGGCGTCGAGCGATCGCGCCTGATCAACAAGCTCGCGGACCTCATCGAACGCGACGCGCAGGAGCTCGCGGAGCTCGAGACGCTCAACAACGGCAAGCCCGTCCGCATCGCGCGGTGAGTGCGCGTTCACTCCGCCTAAAAGTTGATTTACTGACTGGTTATGTGCCCGAACACTGCATATATGTGGGTCATTTCTTGGGATTACAGAGACTTTGACATCGGCGACAGCGTGTCTTGCCTGAGGTATTACGCCGGCTGGGCAGACAAGATCGCAGGCCAGGTAAGTCGCGTCCCAGTCATCTGCACTCCCACCCCCTCTCGTTCCCTGTCCTGTGCAACTTTCCCAAGCCTGCCCTCCGCCTGAGAGCACCAAGCGGCCGCCCGGGCGGACTACTCGGGGCTGTGGACCGCTCTGATCTCCCCGACGAGACCGAGTCCAAGCTTAGCCACCCCCTTCTGAGGATCGGGCGCAGCACGCCTCCGACGCGGGCCCTGTCTGCGGACGGTCTCCGTGGCTCGTGTGGGCGGAACAGCCCCACCTCGCGCGCCCGACCGTTCATTCAGTCGTCGTGTAGGCACAGCCATCCACTGTAGCCCGTCGATCGCCGGCGCGATGCTCTGTTGCTGGGTTGTTGGCGAGACGGAGATGCGCGTCGATGGCGTGCGGGATGCTGCGGTCCATGGGTATCGGTTTCCTCTGCTGAAAGGCGACAGCAATTGAGTCGAGGACTGATCGAGTTTGGGGTGGTGGCGATGGATGGTCATACTCCGAGGTTGTCGGGCAATCTGGGTGGGCCGATGATTGGCGTTCGTTTCTGGTCGTGCGCGGGTTACGTTTGCATTCGCAGGCGTGATGGATGGGCTGTGCAGCTGCGCTCTAATGCACAATGGATGACTGCCATCTGTTTGAAGGATGCTATGACATGAACGTCCGGCCGTTACCGACTTTCGTCAGAAAGTCCCTTGATCTCGTTTGCGGATGCCTCACATCCCTGAATTTCGTGCTGACGCCGCTTCCCTCCGCAGTCCCTCGAAGTCGACAACAAGACCAAGTTCGCGTTCACTCGGCATGACCCCATCGGCGTCTGCGGCCAGATGTACGTCCCAGCCTAACTCTTTACGCTCACATCCCACCCCTCCGAGCCTCCGAGATCCCACGTCGTGTGCCGTGTGGAGTGCACTGGGCTGACGCATCATGTTTTTCGGCGCATATAGCATACCATGGAACTACCCGATCAATATGTGGTCCTGGAAGGTCGCCCCCGCGCTTGCGGTGGGGTGCACGATCGTCATGAAGCCGAGCGAGCTCACACCGCTCACGGCGCTGGTGAGTGCTGTGTTCTTGTTATCCACATATATTCGAAGCCCCCGCCTCCCTACCTCGTCGTTGCGCCATTTGTCTGAGACCGGAGCGTGCATTCGTTTCCCCGCACAGGTGCGCGGAGCGGCAATGCTGCCCACAGTCTCCGGGCACAGCTTTCTCTATGCTTCGTCTTCCCTTCCTGCGCTTCCCGAAGGCCCGGTCGAGGGCCTATGCGGCGATCTCCTTCTAGCTCAAATCCGCTTCGGGCATCACTTTGGGTCGGGGCTCACCCGGGAACCTGTCCGAGTGGGAACAGCGTCGAGCTTCTATACCTCGGCGTGCGCGTAGGTGTGCGCGTATGTATGTGTGCGTGCGTGGTACGACTGCGTCCGAGGGCACCTTCTCTGTCCGGCTACCTTCTTATGGCGGTTGTGGAAGCGGTGCTTCTCGTTCGGAATCCAGAGCTTAACAGACGTGGGGCGTCTGGGTAACCGCATGGATATCTCGGGCGACTGTGCTACGCAGGGGTGCTGTTCAATGGCTTGTTTCGCGGGAATCGCCACGCCACTTTCACAACAAGCACAACGTCTGGCGCATGGGGATGCTCGGGGTCGCGCGAGCAGTCGGCGCGCTGCGCTGCGCACCGTTCTTTACTTTCTGGGTTTGCACGCGGAAGCTGGGAGGCCGACCCGTTTACCCCAGTTTATGCCGCGCTTCGCCGTCGTCGGTGACCCGCTGCTTCCAGGGTGCTCGAGTGCATGCCTCTGCCTCTCTGGTACGTGGTGCGGTACGGTGTGACGAGGGGCGTCATGATGCTCGCGGGGCTTGTTCGGGACTTCATGGTGTCAGTCACTTGGCTTCAAGCGATGATCGCCGTTCTGCATGAGGTCTCAGTCCACTGCGCCTGATCCTGTTCATCCCTCGGATCCTGGTTCAACTGCTGATACGGCTCCACACAGAAACTGTCCGAGCTGATCGTTGAAGCTGGGTACGTAATTCGAAGTGGGATCGCCTGTTCGGCTCGCGGCGTCCGATCGTCTCGCCGGGAACGGGTCTACGTCCCCGTCTTCGTCTCCGCCGCGACCTCTGCTGACATCATAACCTCAGTTTCCCGCCTGGCGTGGTCAACACAGTGCCGTCGCTCGGCTCCGTGGGCGGCGCGGCGCTCTCGTCGCACATGGACGTCGACAAGGTCGCGTTCACGGGCAGCACCGTCACGGGGCGCAAGATCATGGAGGCCGCGTCGAAGAGCAACCTGAAGAAGGTGCGCATCGTGTGCGCGGCCGGCGTGCCGGCCACCTCCTGCAACTGTGATACTTACGATCGGCGGATGCTGTGCCACTAGGTTAGCCTCGAGCTTGGGGGCAAGTCGCCGCATATCATCTTCGAGTCTGCGGACCTTGACCAGGGTGCGTGTGCGCGTGTCCTGGCGGCACGTTCCTACTGACGTTTGATCCGGAATGTGCCGTCTCGCGCTGGTCGTGTTCTCTGGTGCCGGTCTCGTAGCGGCGAACTGGGCGGCCCTCGGCATCCTGTACAACACGGGCCAGGACTGCACTGCCGGATCTCGCCTCTTCGTGCAGGAGAGCATATACGACAAGTTCATGCCGGTGGGTCACCTATCGTGTCTTTCACGCCGCCTGCCAATCCGAACTCTGCTCCAGATCCTTGCCAGCAAAGCAAAGCAGCTCGTGGTCGCCGACGGCTTCGACGAGAAGGCCTCTGGCGGTCCAGTGGTGAGCGTCCTCAGTCCCTCCACGTGCACTCTGTCGCGCCCCACACTCGGGTCCGCTGCCAGCTCGGTTCTTTCCTGGGGCATGTGGGTCTGTCGCCGCGAGCGCGCGAATCTCCGAACCTTGTCGGAGGAAGATCTCGAACCTTAACCCCAATGCAGGTGCAGAGATTGCTCCTCCGGGCGCTTCTCTGCCGCTCCGCCGAGAAGCGCTCACGCGCATTGCCGGCGTCGGCTTTGCGAACGGCGATGCTGCAGGCTCGGGGATTTCCCGAGACGGTGATACCGATGCAGCAGGAAGTGGGTTGGGTAGCCCGATCCTGTTTTCATCTGTCCGAGATGGGAATATTCTTGGAAAGTCGTTGATGCTCGATGGACGTGCAGGTGTCGAAGGTTCAGTACGACAAAATCTTCAAATATATCGGCCTCGGCAAGGAACAGGGTGCTAAATGTCTCGTCGGTGGGGAGAAACGCCAGAGCAAGGGCTACTTTGTTGACCCCACGAGTGCGTCGCTCGTTCACTTGCCGGCGGTGACCTACTAAGTCTCGAGTGAAGTCTTCACCGATGTGACGCCGGAGATGAAAATCGTATGTGCTTGCAGCTATAGGTTACGACCTGTGCCGCGCTGATGCTTGACCTACACCCAGTTCCAAGACGAGATCTTCGGTCCGGTGTTGTCCGTCACTAAATTTAAGACGGAGGAAGAGGCGATCGCGCAGGCAAATAACACGACCTATGGCCTGGGAGCAGGCCTACACTCTAGTGCGTCCGAATTTCATGTCACTTACATACTCACCTGCCATCCCACAACCTTCCCATCTGGTTATCACACGTCGCTCTATTGAATGCTGACGACGAGCTTAGATGACGCAAACCAATGCATGCGCGTAGCCGGTGAGCTTGAGGCAGGGACGGTGAGTTTGATATTCTTGGCTTCTAGGAATCGGCGGACGATGCAAGGGCAACATATGAAGGCCTTGGTGTCACGTCTAACATCCTGTGTGGATCCGGAAGCTTCGATCATTCCGTCATACGTACCAGCCGAGTCATAGGTGCTGAGAGATTTGCGTCTCAAGCGCATTCCAAGTCCCCACTCATGGTCCTGTTTGTCATCCGGTGACTAATGCCTCCCATTCCAGGTCTGGGTGAACCAGTACAACCTCCTCTATAACAACGTTCCCTTCGGCGGCAAGAAGCAGAGCGGCATCGGTAAGCCTTATGGTTCATTGCCCGACTATTCAATTGTGCCTTCGCCTTCTGGCCCGAGTGATCCCCCTGGCTGCGCGATGGTTCCGTGACGAGTTAGATCACTCGGCTTCGAGGCTGTGAACTGGTGCCGTTGCTTAATGTCAAATTCATCTGCAGGTCGGGAGCTCGGCAGTTATGCCCTGGAAGAGTACACCTCCGTGAAGGCGGTGCAGTGGAACTTTGGCGAGAAGCTTGACTTCCCGTTCTAGGCTACAACGCTCACAGGGGTGGAGCACCCAGCCGGAGTTGCTGATGGATAGGGGCGAAGAAGCAAACAATTTGTATACCAATGTACCAGTAAAAATACTCGGCCGCATCTTGAACTGTGATACATGCCATGTTATCTTCCGGGTTGTCCCTTGAGGTAGACCAATTGCACCGTGACCATGTGCAGGACCGCGACGAGTCGTTTGTGGGTCTCTCCCAATTCACATTGAGCGGCTTGTCTAGCATGAGTTACATATGAGCTGCAGTGTGGATGCCTACAACAATTATCTGAGACGACCTGTACCGCTGTTGATTGCACCCGGACATATTATCTTCTCAGAGCGTCGTAACCAACTTGGCGTAGTCTGTGAGCTCCGATACTGCGGTACCTCCGAAAGCGATGCGATACCTCTTGCAGACTCATCCGAGTAAGATATCCCACGGCCCATAAGCCTCCCCTCACCCCAAGGACCACGGAGAAGCTCGTGATCCTCCTTTAAAGTCGTCGGGGCATTCGCAGCATCCCTCGCGGGCCGTGGCGACGCAGTAGGCGTTGGCTTACTCACATATGCCACCCAAACGCTTGCTTCATCATTGAGTACACTTACTGTCCAGTAGGCAGCCCGTAAACACGACCTTGTTGAGTAGGGAAGGCGGAGGAGGACACTGAGTCAGCATCACTGAGCCTGCTGTTCCAGCGTCAGCTCATACTAGCCTAGACCTGGTTCCTCACACAGTGGTGGCGGTGATGGGAGCAGGTAATTCTCGTGGCATGCTCGTAACGATGCACTCGCCCGGGCCAGCTTCCAGGGAACTTACGTCTCGATGCATGATATTGATGATATTTTAATTTTGTCAAACTCCGTAGTACGCGGCGATCATCAGCGTCTGTGTCGATCATACACACGCTCCCGACACATTGATCGCGCCGCTTGGCAGGTTCTAGTACCCTGCCGTCATGGATGCAGATCACCCGCTTCAGGGGCTGCCACTTTCTCGATATCTGCAGAGAAGATGGTGCATTCGGACCTGGTCACGTACACGCCGTGTGCCAGACGATGCAGATATTAAACTTCTTGACTCAGACTTGGACCCAGCTATCGTCGCACTGGCAGCCACTCTGCCAGGAATATACGGCCACCGTCCACGCAACACAATGAGGTCTAGATGAGGTCTCGCATCATGACATGAGGGTGTTCAAGTCGTCACAGTAGCCGGTCGAATGCCACACTTACCGTGCTTGGCCGCAACTTTCCTCCGAGTCGGTATACTTATTCATCGCCTAGACACACAGCGGGTCTCGTTGGCGCACGAGACGCCCACTTTCCTTTTTGGAGAGTTTCACCGGTCTGCCGTTACTTCTGCATGCTCTTGACAAAATGACCCTTGTGCTGTCAAGACAGATTGTGACTACGATGAAGCCGGCGGCATCGTGTACAAGCGTCCGAGTCGTAACTTGGCGCCCGTCCTCCCGCTCAGTGGCACGCGGCATCGCCACCGGTGTCCTTAATGATGCATCGCACTAGGCAGTAGATCTCGCTAGAAAGCGATGCGGCCCTTTAGCACGGCGTTCCTGAGTCGAGGGTCCGGATTTGCGGGTTCCTCGCCTGCAAAATCAGAGCATGTCGAACGGAATGGATCGTCGCTTCGAGTCGCCTCGGACTCCCATTTGGGCCCCGTTGCGATTGCGCTGCGAATACTTGGCTTGACTAGACGCATCACTGGGGCCAATCGCCTGGTTACGCCTGATCGAGTTCTCCAGGTTACATCTAACATGCAGTCAAGTTTCAGTCGAGTAAGTCAGGAGTAAGTATCGTATGCGTGTCTGATCGGGCGGACGTAGGCCGACCGAGATCGACGGTTGGCGCAGCTCACCTAGTATCTTCGAACCTCCTGTTAGAGCTGAGGGGTGTGCCCGGGTGATGGTGCATGCAAGGTTACAGCGACCAACCTGACTCGGGTGTACTCTCCCGCGTTTGGAAACCGGAGAGTCAAACCGACCTCGTCAATTAGTCATCTCCGGCGCGGTCGCAAAATGGACAGTCTCCAGTCCTTCGGATTTCGAGCTGGGTCACTACGTCATTAGTCGCAGTCTCAGAAGATCTGTGGTCTGACCTGTACATGTCCTAAGCGTGGTTTATGCATGGTTTGAGAAGCACGATGCTATCGCGTCGCCATGCTCGGAGCCCGGGCGGTCTATGAGCGGACGCTGCTCGGAACAGCAGGTCCTGTGGACAGCCTGACTGGCCTGAGGGCCGGCCGAGAGTTCACTTGCCATCACGCCTTCGCATCGAGAGTGGGCTCGGCGAGTCTGCTGATCGCCGGAAGGAAGTACTTAGGCACCGTCCATTTGAAGGCGTCGTCTAACAGTCAATATCAGGTAAAAGGCTCACACGTGCAGCAGGACGTCTAGCTTCATGTCTCGCTTTTTCGACCAATACGGGGCTTCGCAATGAACAAATAGCCTCCTAACAAAAAGAGCGGCATTAGATATGGAACGGATTCCGTAGGAGGTCACAGCAAATACTAGGGTATGCGTAGGGCGGTCTGTTGGGGGCCGGATGTGGATGTGTGTTCCATATGGCTACAGTCAATAGATAGCGAACTGTGAATACGACGGCAGGAGCATCGTGGCTATGAATACAGCAGATGCGTAGGAAAGCGGGGTGCGTGTCCGAGAGTTTGCAAAGCAATGTCATTATGTGTTATGTCACGCGCTACGACGATGGGATTGACCTTGAAACGCAGAATAGTTCATGTCCTGCCAAACCGCTGGCAGTGAGCAACTATGCGGACTTTGTACGTCGTATGATGGACGTACGTTGGGATCCATCCATCCTTGGAGGTTCTGTCCGTGAAATGCCGTGGCGCCCGAGGGCTCATTGTAATAGCCTTGACCCTGCAAGTATTGGTTCGGATAAGACGTGCTGTGGATGAATAATCAGTGTCTATCCCATGTGGGAATAGCCGCATTGACCGCACTGACCTCTGGTTGACGCCCGACATCAACTGCGAAGTGTTCCCCGTGGGCAACGTAAGGCCCAAGGCCTGGCCCGCGGCGCTGCCGCTGCTGCCGGGTGAAGAAGCATAAGTGTGTGCCACAGACCCGGGGTAATGCTGAGAGTTCGGCACGCCATGCTCATAACCATGATAGCGATCGTAGGATGGCCCTGCCTGGGATTGGTTGAACGGGTCGGGTCCAAGGTATGATGGCGCTGAATGGGGAAGCGTTTGTCGCCGTGAATCGGGGAGCATCTCCGCCGACATGTCGTAGTACTCTGGCCAGTCGTATATCGGGCCGGGGAGCGTCGCATGGTGGGACCATACTGCGCTTGCCCCGATGGCGGCCAAGGCATGGGCGTCGATGGCAGCGACCGCGATGTTGATGGCGATGCTAACATAGCATGCGGTGCTGACCCACCAGCAGCGGCCGCAGCGGTTTGTTGTCGTTGCACGTGGATCGGGATATACTCGCACTTCACGCCCCTCTTCTCGCAGCGGTCGCACTGGGGTGTCCCTCCAGAGCACTGCCACAGACGTGAGACGATGCCCGGCGTGAGATCATGGCCAACGATCTCACTTTGACCTGTCGCCGACGACATTCAGTACATGCAATCGGCGTTCGCTTGCTCCTGACCATAGGTGTCAGGAGACTAGAGTCAACCGAGGCGCCGGCTGCAGAAGATACGAACGACTAGGTTAGCCTATGTCCTGCCTTCATCGGGAAAGATGCGGGAAAGTACTTACGAGTGTTCGATCTCTGTCCTGCGTCCGTATCTTTGGACTTCCTGCTGCTGGTGCTGGCTTTGCGCTCGGGGCTAGCATCTGTCATGGTGGCGATTGAAGGTAGATCTACTTAGGATCGCGGGGAGTGGGGCACAGTATGGGACCGTGATGTTGCGTCTAACATCGGTGCGATTTATACGAAGAACAGGTGGTCGAGTAATAGGCGGGCGCCAAACCACTAATCCACACCAGACCGACTGAAATGGTAGAAAGAGACGGAAGATCTGAGATACGATCTAAGGCGAAATTCCCTTGTGCCCCACGCCGTCCACGAGGGCATTGCCATAAAACACCAACTAGCGGTTGAGACGCCCGCGGTTCTGCTGGAGGCGCTGCCTTTGATGCGGCCCAAGGCTAAGCGAGGGCGCCACCGGCGCTGACGAGTTCGTCGATGATTTATACCGTGTGAGTCGGAGTCTTCGCAATCACTCCGAAGCCATCGAGAGCTTGTCCGCCCTTGTCCGCCCGAGGAAAACGACCAGGAACTATGCAGAATAAACACGAGTTAGCGGTGGTTCTGACCTGATGCACAATTGAGCACTCCGTGCTATACACCATAAAGATATCCGCGTCCCCACGGGAAAGGTTGGAAGTGTGATTGTGGACGTGAAACAATACCTACGGTGAGTGTCAGGGATCCCCTTACACTGCAACCGCATTAGACACGATTGCCCCTCAGTGTCGAGGCGTGGGTCTGTCCACAGCACATTGACGAGACCCAGTTAGGGATCAGTTGCGATATGATCACCATGCGTATGCGCGAGGCACGTCACCGAAAGTGGTTTAGCCTCTGTCATGGCTTCAGGCTGACGCTGGACCGATTTTCTTTGCCGCCGTCGTTGCCGGGCCTCCGGCAGGAGGAGGAAGTGGGAACTCCAGAGCATTTGTCATGTTGCGCTACGCCGTCTTGCCCGCCAGAGAGCAGGCTTCCGAACCACGCCGTACGATCTTCCTGCCGAATGGCATACAGAAGGAAGATGATACTGGCCGGCCGGGGAACGTCGGGCACCGTCGACGTCGACGTCGTCGGAAAAAAAGCGCGTACATGTCGCGCGGAACAGCACGGAGGAGCAGAGCGAACGTAGTACAGCGTTCGTAAACGTTGACGGAAACAAGTCCCGGTCCTGGTCAGACCCTGATCCCAGGCTGCTTGTCGGCGCAGCGTCAAGGCGCCTAGTAGTAGTCGAGATGCGCGAGAAAGCGCCTTCTCTAGACTCCAGTCGGACATACGAACCAGTGATAGAGACCGCAACAGATCGGCCGGCCAACGAACAAGTCGCCAATTGCTGTGCGTGGCTGACTCCCGTGCTCGCGCGGATATGACACGCCCAAAATTACTTACTCAGTACCACTGGCTTGCACAGTCAGTCAAGCTGAGTGTATCGGTTCGCGCAGTAGAGAGGATCGTCAGCCACTGGAAGTAGGCTCGCCTTGATTCACCATACTCACCGCCTGATGACTAAGCCACACCGCGGAGACCGAGGTACGCGCTATGAAGCTCCAGAGCTTCGAGGGCAGCAACCATCGAGGAGTCGGTAGGGTGCCGACGTTTCACTGACAGACTTGGCAAGCACTGCTGAACCACTCAGAAAAAGGCGCTAGATATACATCACAGTCCGTGCCATGGAGGGTCAACCGCACTCTACATCGCTAAGTAGTCTCGAATCTCTTCTTCGGTCAGTTTCCTGAACGTAGGCTTCGTCCTCCCTGTGCCCTCGATCTTCCCCGATTCAAGTTCAGCCAGGCTTGGGACGGTCACGACGCCAATCTCGATTGTTTTCTCTGTCATGTGCCCCTCGAAACCTTCCTTCAGCGTCAGGAGTGCCGTATGGATGGCATCCTCAAGGCTGATGTCGTCGTTATACCTGACGCCACATTCATCGGATCAAGCTTCGCAACCACAATATTCAAAACCACGCACCGCTTCTCGAGGAAAGTCTTCGCGTTCACCATGTTCTTGCCGATCGCGCTCGCCTTCCAGGCCCAGTAGGACCCTGAGGGATCTACCTGATACAGGGTCGGCCCGCGTGTGATGTCCCAGCCAGCAATAAGCAGCGACACGCCGTAAGGTCGCACACCACTGCGAAGCAGGGGTCGCATCAGCTGGAGTCGCCCGGACGTCCGAACGGAGGTGGAACCTACCCTGAGTGTGTCGCCTGCTGCATGATCGTCGCGATCTCCTGCGTCAGCGTCTTCGTGGGTGGGTACTCGCCGTAGATCTTCCAGTACGCCTGTGCGGACTTGCGCGCCTTCGCTACGAGCACACGGAAGTCGGGGCCCATGCCCGAGTAGACGATGCCGATGTTGGGGCAGATGATGGCGACCTTCTCGATCATGGAGTCGTCGATGAGGATGGAGGGGGACTTCTTCTCAGTTGCAATGACAATGCCATTTGTGGCTGGTCACCGTACGCCTCAGGTTCGGAGATGACGCGGACGGGAGTACATTAGACTCACCTTTGATCCCCAGACTTGTTGTGCCCTGCCTACTGCTGCCAACGCGTGTTCAATTTGTACAAGCTTTCCGCTCGGCGAGAAGACGGTAAGCGAGTAACTGGGTGTTCCGTGAGCACCATCTCTACATGCACGTAGCTTTCCCACCTGTAGGCTCCTCCGTCAGCGCTGGCCATGATGCGTCTTGTGTGAGGTTAGAATAAAATGGACCGGACAGACGTTACGCGTAGCAAGCAGTGTGTAGGCTTGGTGATGTACGGGACTGTACAGTGCACTGTACGCGCGTCGCTCAGTGCAGTCGCGTCTGTCCACGTGATCACAATGATCGGTGGCTGGGTGTAGACGCCCGACCGGTTTCGCCGGCGAGTCGTTCTCGAACCAGCCGGACGGACGCGTTGAGTCGACATGTACCGCCTGCAAATGACAGAATCGATGACCGCCATCACCGTAGAAAGACGTAGAGCGCATCAGGCTTTGATGTCGCTGTTGGGGCAACAAATGCCGGACCACGGCGCGACGTCCAAGGCACCGTGTCGGACGTTGCGATGTCCAGCGGTTTGGAAAGCCCTGCTGCTGCCTCGTTCATATACATATCTGAAACAGCAAAAATGGCCACAATTCTTCTGTTACATTCTGCTAAGTACATTTGGTATACACCGCTCAACGCATCGCTACTGGAGCTGCGGATGACATAGGTACGGTACTATTACAAGCACAAGCTTCTTCTGCTAGACATTGGTCTTCTGCCGAACGCAAACGCAATCACTCAGCCTCCGCGATTCACGGCTTGAGGGGCGTCGTCCGCAGGTAAGTTTGCTAATTCACTATCATCAGCCCGGGCTAGCCTCGGCCACCAAGGTAAGATCACCGACCTTGTGGAAAGTAACGTCGGGGAAGAGCGTCTTCGCCTCATCGTTCGTCACCGACGGGTGCACAATCACATCGTCACCGGTCTTCCAGTTCACGGGCGTCGTGACCTTGTACTTGTCACCGAGCTGCAGGGCTGCATGTCGGCGGTAAGTCAGCTCCGATGTATACTACGCCTAGCGCCGGCGAGTTAGTGGGGCTGGTACGTACAGTCGACAACCCTGCCGGCCGAGTACGCATCAGCGTCAAGGCGCGTAGGAGACAGTGTGCTGTGCTTACCGAAGAATCTCGTCGAAGTTGCGACCGGTCGCAGCGGGGTACGAAAGGCTGAGACGGATGACCTTCTTGGGGTCGATGATGAACACGGTGCGGATCTGTTTCATCTTGTCAGAAATAAATGCTGGAGACTGACGTCAAGCGACTGACGGTGAACGGCAGACCCTTCCCATCGCGGTTGGTGGCGTCCTGTTCGTCGAGCATGTCGTACAGCACCGAGACCTTCCTCTCGGCATCGGCGATCTAGCGTGCATCACTCCGCCTCAGTCCTGGGCATGGCACACAGCACGATGGCATGTACGTACGATGGGAAATTTGACACTCGTCGGGCCGAGGGTCTTAGTGCCGTACTCGTTGATGTCCTCGACCCAGCGCGCGTGGTCGTTGAGGTTGTTCGCGGACAGACCAATGACCTTCACGTTGCGCTTGGCCCACTCATCGCTCCTGCAAAGGCCCCTAGTCAACACCGACTCGCCAATCTGACACTGAAGCACCGCAACTCACTTCCGCGCAACCTCTGCGAGCTCCGTCGTGCACACGGGGGTGAAGTCGCCAGGGTGCGAGAACAGGATCGCCTGCGCATGGCGGCATCACGCACACAGTGGTCGTCGGTACAGGCGAGGGCAGGTGGAAGGGACGGAGCGCGTCAAGTCCGAGATCAGCTATCGTCGATCCCGCTTCATTTGCAATCACACTCACCCAGGAGTCTCCGATCCACTCGTGGAACTTGATCGGACCTTGGGTCGTCTCCGCCTCGAAGTCGGGCGCGATGCTTCCCAAGCGCAGAGAGGCCGGCATGTCTGTGAGTGGGATTCTGGTACAGCTACAAGTGGGGGCAAGAGGCGGGAGGGGGCGTTATCAGGACATCGCAGCGCCCCCGGCGCGGTTTATATATGCGCGCGGCGGGGACGAAGGCGGGCGGGTGGCGAAGGATGTGTGACCACTGACGATGACATGATGAAGGATGGCGAAGATGGGATCGCGCCTTCGGTTCTCACGGGGGCTACGCCTGCATTCACTCCTCCTCCATCCGTGCCACCATCAGCTCATCTCGACGTGCTCTCGGTGCGCCGTGGCCTCTCTATATACCTCAGAATGTGCAGCGGACGCAGAATTGCCTCAGAACAGCGTGGGTGTGAGAGCCGCCGAGAACTTCTCGGTGGCTGAGATCCCGGAGAGCTTGCAGTGTCTTCCAACCTCGACCGCGAGGGTACCTGCCGGGAAACTCCTGGACTCGCACGGGACCTGACAAGGAGGAATGCGGAGATTTGAGAAGAGTTGCAGTACGATACCACGAATTCAATCACTGCTACAGTGCTATGTGCCCAGGCGTGCAAGACAGTTGTTGCGGACATTGTGCGGGTACGCGTCGACGCACGCAAAGTATCAGGGACCTCGAACCCGAGATCTGCCGACTGCTTTGGTGCACGCTACTCAGTACAAGTCATGAACACAGTCCCCGGGAGGGACTCGTCGTCGACGAGCCCTGCGCAGACCTTCTCGTGGTCCGGGGGGTGAGTAGTCCTTATGGGATGAAACCAACATGCGCTGTAAGGACTGTCCACCGCTGTTCAGCGGTGCAGCCAAGATGAAAATCCTGTTTCATCCGAGGTCATGGATCCCAATCCACCCTCAAAACGGGCCGAACAGACTGGCCCTCTCTCTGACCCACCTGGGAAGTGTCGAAACACTGGTGGAAAGGCCCTGTATGGCCACTTTTGAGCCCACCGTCCCCCTACACCGCAAACAGTGACCACGGGGCCACACCCGACGTCCAAGGGCGCTTGACCACGCCCACATAGACGCCCGCGAGTTAGCCACCAGCTCCTCCGCGAATCTCGAGCCGTCCTCCGAACGCGAGCCACACGGTAAATACTACCAAACATGGTGCCACAACTATCCTTTAGAGGCGAACACTGACGGTTTGCTGGATCCTCGAGATAATGATATGACTTTCTCCCTCAATACCTGACACTCTTTCTCCTGGCAAAAATGAATGTACTCTGTCACATCCCCACACTCCCTGTGCCCTGAGCGCTTCCTCATGAATAATTACGTTAGGCCGCTTGAATCGTATCAGATGCCGTCACTGGTGTTAGGGCTCTCTAAAAAGTAAACGCTCATTGCTTTACATGCCATATAAAATAGACCTCACCTGCATGATCACCAAGGATAACACATCATGCCGCCCACCACAAGGCAGACAACAACATCCAAGAAACAACCCCAGTGCCGTCAAATGGCCCCTGTGGCCAAGCCACGTCAGTTCAAGGCCTGGTCACCCTCTGAGTCCTACCCATTCTCACCATCCGCACCGCTACCCCCATCCCTCCCCGCACTGCGACATCAGGAAACCCCCCCTGCGCGAATGTGGCGCGAATCGGCGCCAAATCGGTCCGGCGCGACCTCCCGTGTAAACGGCTTCCAAATCGGTGCAAACAGCTCGTAAACGCCATCCGAAAAAGCTGGCACCGTGAACTTACACAAAATCACTGGCCGACTCAATATTGGCTTGCCACACTCGATGCCACGAGCCATAGCCGACACTGACTCAGAGTTGCACCACGTAACTAGTCCTATATCGGTTTGCAGTGTCGAGAATATCATGTATGATCACTAAAGTACTACTATCCTCGCAACAGACCTTCTCATCGGCTGGATTCGGCCAGCAACGGACATGGCGCTCGCTTCCAGAGGACCGATAGCGAACGTGCAAGCCTTAGCTCGTCAGCGGGGTACCCGAGGCAGTGTGCAACGTTCGTGCACCATAGTACGCGGATGCGACTTTAGATATATAGGGTGCTACATGGAATGCGCGGTGAAGTGAAGGGCGGTGCTACCACTGACAGCAAAACCATTACCGTCGGATGATCTCGTCGAGTGACGCATGCATGCCACCGGCCTCGGGATCATCCTCGAGCAGCTTAGCTGGATACACGTAGTCCCTGAGCTTGAAACGATGGCCGATATCCTTGGCAATGGGAAGCTCGTCGCCGGTGACCATCTTGAGCTGGACGCCGAGAAGCATCATGATGGTGTCGCTGATCGTCTGCTTGGTACCGGTACGGGGAGGGTCGAAGATAGGGAGAAGACCAATCAGCCCGCAACCGTTACTGTCCCCCTCAATGTAATCACCCTCAACCTCCTCGTAGGGGACAGCGAGCGCGCGCAGACTACGCGCGGCGAACTTCTCCACGTCAGCCTCGCTCTTGTTCTCGTGCTCCTCGGTTTGTTGCGCGAGCAGAGCTCGATGACGATGCTGGTCATACCCTTGATGACGCGCTGGAGGCAGCCAATCGACTCCTCACGGTACGTGATCTCCGTGCGCTTGTCGGCAGGGTTGAAGAGCTTGCAGTCGAGCGGCTGTCGACCAGAGCGTGCGCGAGAGGTGTCGGTGAGGGCGCCGACGATGCAAGAGTCAATACCGTCCTTCGAAGATAGAGAGGAGGCCAATGAGCTCACCCTCGAAGTCAGCACTCTCCACCGCCTCGTAAGCGGGAGCGAGCGCACGGAACAAACCCTTCATCATCCGCATAGACTACGGCTGCCCAGTGGTGAGTGCATTGGTCTCGTGTGGTCGCCGCCGCAATCGTCGGGCCGAGCTGGGCAATCCTGGCGCGTCGTCTTCGCATCTTCTGCCTGGCGCGTGTTCACCGGGACTGACTCCAATGGCCGCGTCTGAATAGCAACCCGCCCCCAGCGATGTGGATTCCTGCTCGACTCCTACCTCGGCGAGCCGTGGGCGTCCACGTCCGCCACCCCGCCTAGGCCGGCGTCAGCCCGCCTCTTCCAACGCCAATGCCAAAGACCCATCAGGCTCCCAGACCGCGCTCGAGAGCACCGGCCCCTTGCGGACATCGCCAAGACGAGGCGTCGGGGGCACCAGCCGCACAGGCTGCAACGACGTGCCGCGTGACGACATTGCCGCAATGGGTTACTGCGTGCTCGCCGCGTTCTGCACGCTGCTCCTCGGTGCACCGCCCCCGCCGCCGATCGACCACCCCGCCGGGTTCGCTGTGCGCGTGCGCTGGTAGCACTGGCAGCCCGCGCCGCCGCGCGTGGGGCTGTGGAACTTGAACACCTTTTTCACGCCGGACCCGAGCGAGTTCAGCCCAGAGTGGTTCTCGCGTGTGGCACCCAAGCTCTGGATCGGCGGGCTGAATAACACAGATCTCGCGGGCGCCGTAGAGCCGAGGGACACGTAGCCTGAACCGGGCGCGAGGGACCACAATCTCGTGGTTGAAAGGGAGCGCGGCGGGGAGTCGTAAGACTCCACATTTAGAGGTCGCAAGCGAGGTGGCGTCGGGTGTCCTGGCCTCGCGGCTTGGACGTGAGGATGATGGGGGAGCCGGCGCGAGGTGATGCGTAGGATATTGAAGGTACCGGTTATGTTGACGAGGGCGGCTCCACGACGTAGAGCCGGGGCTGGCGGTGGCAGCGAGGGCTCGGGGGAGTCAGCACTCGACCCCGGAGGGCCAGAGTGAAGCCAGTCTCCGCGCCTGCGAGCTGGCGGGTGTCGCCCCGGAGGTGTGAAAGAGGCAGTCACGGCAGCACAGAGGCCGGGCCACAATGCGTACGTGGAGGGGCGAGAGCACAAGCGGGCGGCAGGACAACGATGGGGACAGGTGGGCGAGGGCGAGGGTGACAGGATGGAAAGGGTAGACAACAATGGCATCCCGGCTGTGTCGATCTCACGAGGTGAGGATGCTGAGCGGAGTATGAGCTATATCGTTAAGATGAATGAGTGCTATGTATCTGGCAACGAGGATGAAAAGGAACAATGGGGAATGATTAAACTGGGGCCTCCCGCTCACGACGTGCGAAGAGACTGGCCTGCAGACCGCGGATGCGTCACCCGGGCCGATCCCCAACGCGTACATCAACGCGAGTCTGCAGGGGCCAATGATCCGTGTGCACTTGCGAACGGGCGACGTAGGCAAGGTGGGAGGATGGGGGTATACGGCGTGGCCAGCATACTAGGTGATGGCCGCGCACTTTCAGAACTCGAGTGTGGTACCTACTTACCGCGCCTGGTTTGGCCTCCCGCGTCGTCTTCTCGGCCGCAAAGGACAGTCTTATGTGGGTGCCCGAGATAGCAATGCCAGTGTCCTCGTGGCAGGACACAGCCTCCCTTGGCGAGCAGCGAACGCGGTCACCCGGCCTAGCCGAAGCATGCGTCTCGCACCAGGCCAGAGGAGGTTGGGTCGCCGGGACGAGGACACCGGGATGGCGATCGACTAAGTAATCGTCGTCGAGGACGCACGGGGCAGTGGAGAGGGCTGAGGAGGGGCTCGTCCATGCAAACCGTAGTCTGAGTGGATGCTCAGGATGGATTAGCAGGACTACAGCCAAACCACGCACCAAAATCCTTCTCTCGAGGTCCTGCGAGCGAGCTGAGCTCGATGCCCTCTCGCCCTTCTCTGATGGCGACTTCCAGTATCGCCCTCCCCTATCCGCGATTTTCACTCGCATGATGTCGCGCGGCTTGAAGTGCATCGCGATTCGTGCGGCACAAGTCCTCGGGCAGCGCACGTCTTGGGTAGGGACACCGAGGGCGGATGCGAGTCGTTGGTGAGGTGGCGACGTGAGGGCGGTAGATGAGCATGAATCTGGGCAGATCGAAGCCGAGCGAAGAGGGAAATTGTGGGTGTAGCAGCGAGGTCAGATGGTGGGATGGTGGTGAACGCAGAGCCACACCAAGGCGCGTTCTGCCCGCATGTCGAAGTAAGCGCCGACGAGTGCGCTCGGGCCAGGGAGCCTCTGGAGCTTGAAGAATGAGTCCGAAGTTCGATCTTTGATTGTGTCTAATGAATTTTTTGTGGAAGCTTTCAAGTGGTTTGTGTCTGACCCTTTTATTCCAGATGACAAGAACGCAACGACTCGCTATTGAGGCACCCAGGTCCGGCGCTTATAGACATCGCGGGGCACCGAGTGTATTCAACTACACTACAGTGATGTACGTGTTCCTATCGGTGAAGGAGTTGACGTAGAAGTTCTCACACAGATCGAGAACGTTGTCACTCGTCCACTCGGGCGGCTTGACAGGCCCGAACTTCGGTACAAGATGAATGCTCCGTTGGAGATCCTTCAAGGGGACGATCGCTGCGACGCGGTCCCCTGCATGTGTTCTGTGGCGTTTGATACTGTAGAAGAGGTGGTTAGCCTCTGGACGAGGCTTGAATCGGGTGAACCATTCGAGGTAGACAAAGTGCGACGGCGCGGTGGGATCGCCATGGAAAACATTGTCGTGAGCCTTCTTCGTCAGTGAGAATATGGCGCGAACTTGGCCCACACGATAGCCTATTCGCTCGTAAGTTGCTGGAAATGTTTACTGTGTAAGGGATTGCGTACCTGCGACCCCTACGTGCCCACCATCTCTCTCGTTTACGAGCGCGGTGTCGAATCTTCCCGGGACGAGTCGACCTTGGGTGTCTCGGTAGTTCGGGCGGGCATGGATTACATCGAGCGTCTCAGGTGCATTTCTGCGCCTGAAGAAATCCTGGTTCCAGAATTTGACCTTGTGCCACATCGAGACGGCGCGGAAAGGGAGGTCGTACACTGAGACGTGTTCCGCGAGCTCACGAGCTGACAAGTCGGGATGCTTGTGACTCACTATGGATTCCTTGAGGAGGTGCTCAAAATTGAAAGCACCGTAGCGGGCCTCGACGGTCGAAAAGGCGACGGACTTGCACGTCGGATTACGCGTGAGGTGGCGGTGGGGCTTATGAGGAATGTGGGAGGGCGCGGGTGCGATGTGCGGGCGGCCGTCGAGACGCCATTGGATGTAAAGCATGTGTGCGTGAATTTGTTCGAGGCGAACCACGGTGGTGGTCATCTGCGGATACTCATCCTTGCGGTTGGACTTGCGCCACGGATCCTTTGCGAGTGAGATGTGGAGATGTTCAGACGCCGAGGTGTTCGTACCATCGGCAGTACCGAAGAGCTTAATCCCCGACGTGTAGTGCTGAAGGGAATGCAGCTTCGGGAAATTGAAGTGATTGCGGATGCCGAGTTGCTCAAATACCGCTTTGTTTGCATGAAATCGAGCGAGGGCGTCGTCGAGCTGCGCAAGGGTCGTGGAGGTGTGCGCAGGCAGTTGGGCGAGATACACGAAATCCAGGAGAGCGCGCACAGCGCGGATGAGGCGGGTGGGGTTGTGACCGCCGGGCAGGCGGAGGTCAACTATGGTCCCGAGGAGAACACGACAAATGTCTTCGTGTTCCGTGCCAGAGACGCGCGACAAGTGGGAGATGCCTTTCGAAAAATGGCGGAGGTTGTGATTAGGAGGGAGGGCCTGGAACCGTTCGTCGATGACTCGAGCACCATATGCAGCCTTGGTCCATGCAACGACGTGTTTGACCATCCCTTGGTAGAGCTGATGTAGGATGTCGGGAGGCAAAGAGGCGTAGATGTTGACATAGGGGAGATCTTTCCAAAAGGCGTCGGTGAGTGGTTTGATGCCCGCGGCCTTGCAAGCATTGACGTGGGCGACTGCTGATCCCGTGCGCGCGAGAGTGTCTAGGGCGTCCAAGATGGCGTTGACGTCTCTTGCGGTACAAGGCACCGGCTCGCCCAACGACTCAGGGTCCACCACGCCCGCAGGGCATTCACCATTCTTCACGCCGGTGACGAGTACGATTTCTGGGTAGTCCCCGACATACGCGGCGAAGACGGGGTGGCAGCGCTTCGCGAGACCACGGCCAGTCGTCATCACAGTGCCGTGTCGTCCGGCCTTCCGAGTCGGGGCGAGGGCCTGGCGTAAGCATGCATGGAAAAGGTTGCTCGACGCTCGACGCCGTGTTTCGTCGCTCTTGATGTGCGAGAGTCGGGTGACTGGCAGATAGCCAATGAGCAGCTGGGCCTGTCTGCTGGATTTGCGACGAATCTCCTTCGGGATATTACCAATGGTGAGATATAGCGGGTAACACGACCGGTTGCGAAACTGCGTCAACTGTGTCTTATCCGAGGAAACGATGAGGGGTATGATCGTCGCACCGGCTTGCTTCTTTTCTAGTTTGTGCTGCAATGATTGAGTTAAGACTGGTGTGTTGCGAGCAACCAGCAGACACAAGCATACCTGCAGGCGCCACCACCAATCGCCAGTGTTCATGTCGCCATAAACTCGCGTCGTCTTTGTCCGATCAATGTAGTGTTTCTCGGGGGCGAGGATGATGCTGGTGGCCCAATCGGATGAACCGAAGAGCACGCGTATGCACTCCATGGCATCGCGCAGCCAAAAGTCATATTTTTCGCCATCCACCTCGACGACGTGACGAACGAAACTCGGGCGAGGAGGGAGCGAGTCGTCAATGATCTTGTTGAGTTCTTTGGTGTTCTTGAACGAGATGTCTAGGCCATCAAGCACCTGTGTAATCAGCCGAGGACAGGGTTGCGTGAGCCACGGAGGTACATGGAAGAGCGAGCTGCCATACCCCGTCAATTGCCAGCAGTTCATTGAATGCACTTGCCGACGGACCTCGCGTCTTCGCCCATTGTGCGATGCGCCAGTCCATCCGCGAGGCGAAGGGGGCGAAGATGTTCGCGTCAGGGGTGTCCCCCAACGCCGCTTCATAGGTAGCAAATGGGTTCTTGCCCGCCGCGGCATTGGTCTCGCCGACTGGGGCCCTGGCGAACGGCACTACAAATGGATCATGGAAGAGAAACTCCTCTTCACGTGGCTGATTGCCCGGCAGGTTGCGATCCACGTCCATATCGTCGTGATGTCCGTCGTGTCGGCCTTGATCCTCTTCGAGGGCATGCTCAGCAGGTCCAAGTGGCCGATCAGACGCTGCAGAGGGCGATTGCATTCGCATGGCCTGAGGAGACGGGCTGCGGTTGAAGAGCCTCGGAGGCATGTCCTCGTAGTGTCGCTCGTCTTCGTCATCGGATGACGAGTCTGAAGGCAAGCCGTCGACTGCATCGTCCAGTAGGGGCTCGCCCAGTGCATCTTGATCGAGGTACTCGAGCTGACCATCGTCGTCTGGGTCTAGGTATTCGAGGGGACCGTCGAGATCTGGTCCAGGTACGTGGTTTGTGGCTGCGCGACATCACAGCAATGCTGATGCTCACCTTCAGTCACACGCTGGTTCGCATGCCCTGCCGCGAGCACGGGATCCAATTGGCTTTGTGCACTCCCACTGGCCGGCTGGCGTTCGAGGGGATGGCTCGAAGGACCGGCGACAGGTTCGGTGGGCATGCGATTCTCCTCGAGGCGAGTGCGCGCGCACACACGCGCGCGTTCCATCGCCTGCATGACGCTGCTCTGGCATCGAGGATCTCCCGACCGAACCACATGTCTTGACAGCGCGTCAATGTCAAATCCGGACGCACCGCAGCCAAGGCACTGATGCGAAGCGCTTGCCGTCGCGCTGTTGGGCGAACCACCTGCCAAATAGCATTGTCAGGGTCACGAATTCGTTGAGCGTGATCCAGGATGTGGAAACGTACCGGGGAGGCCCACATTCATGCACAGATGGGCGAGAGGCCCCGCTCCAATGTCACCGAGGCATTGAGTGTCTTCCAAAAGGTGAAAAGAGTTGTGCGCGAGTCCCAGACGAACTGATCGAGCGAGCGAAGATGGAACACCTTTCGCGACAAGCAAGTGCCTGAGACCCGCGATTGTGGTGCCGTCGGATACAACTGGTAAGACACGAGTCAGTGGATATACAATGAATGAGTAATCAGAAAATGAACACTGACCGATTGGAATACTTCGCCCGGCACAGGGGCGAACAAATATTGTGTACGTTGACGTTGCGGTGATTCGCCTTCGATGATCCAGCCGAACATGGGTGAAGTGCCCTCGACGCCGGCGTGTCCTGACCATACAACTGAGGAGAATCCTCGTGATAGGGAGCCAATCGGCTTGAAAGAGAGCGGCTGTTGAGGATCGGTTGTCAGTTAAGCTCGGAACGGGTTATAACACAAGTGGACACCGCCTATGAAGTTTTGTCCTCGTTACTCACCTAATGCTGCCGCCCATATAAGAAAATAGGCATATACGGAAACCCAGTGTAATGCCCATTCAACCTCTGACAGCCCCGCGCGAAGTCCAGTGGATCCGTCACTGGGTCGTTCTAGCTGGTAAGCACTATGGCGTATCGAGGTTTGCGACGCAGCTGGGACGGAGTCGGGGCCGATCGTGACACCTGGCGTCTTTGAGAGGTGAAACAGCAAAGAACTGGCAACCGCCGGCAGAAGGAGGACGAGGGAAATATTGAATATGTAGCGCAATGTGTGCATGATGATTGCAGCGTCGTTCGGTGAACAGAGGCTTGCGAGAGCTCTGGTCCGCCATCCTTGTTTGGGAGGACGCCCGCCTTGGCGCTGCGTCCGAGTCGGCATCAAAGGATCGTATTGTGAGGTAGCAAATGAGCCTGTGAGCGAAATAGGGACTGTACGCTGAGACGAGCCTCCAATTTCCGCCAGACAGCGTGACGATGCAAACCGCAACGCTCAACGGCCCATTGCAGGCCGGTAACCCTTGCCCAGAGGCAAGCCTCGGGCCGCAGCGCACAGGTAGAAATGCAGGCCGGGGGTACGGCTTGATAACCCGTAGTGGCATGGCCCGCCGCGACACCCTAAATCAACGGCCGAGTTTGTGCCTGGAGATTCCACCAGGCCCGCTGGCACCTCCAAGCCCTTGCGCCTTTCCCCCCGACCACGACGTCTCTCCGTTCAGTGGAAGCCCCTTCGGCTGGCTGTGCCTCAGTTCCTGCACCTCCCCGGTCATGCCATCGGTTCCCGCAAGCAAGAAGGGACGTGGGACGAAGAAGAAGGTGGCCCGCAAAGTTGACGACCCTGCACAGGCTGAAGTTAGCCAAGGAGGTATGTTTGGAGACGGTCCAGGCTGAAACCCGAATGCCAGTGCTCACCCAAAATTCATTGAAGGACCAGATGCTGGTGTCGAGTCCGAACCCCGTCCGCGTCGGTCAGCCCGAAATCTCGATCCTGAACTGCAAGAGCTCGCCAAAGACTTAAGGAGCGAACAGCGAGCTCAGCAGAACGCATTCGAGCAAGCCCGCGAGCACGAGATTGCGAATCCTACGAGTGAGTCCATTTCTCCTCGACATATTTTCGTAAGTACATAACCAATCTCGCGCGCGCCGTACTAGTTACGCAACCACGCTCTGCCAAAGCGCAGGCATACAAAGACCGAGGTATTCACATGTTTTTGCTGGCTTCATCCCGAACTCATATTGATCTTCATCCAGTCTGGCTGCCGAGTGGTAAGAAGCGCGAGCGGAAAGACTCTGAAGTTGCTGCCTCCTCTGCAGCGAGTGCTGTCAAGCGTGGGCGTGTGACCGACACGGAGGGTAGGTGCTTACCTCTGATAATCGTACACCCTACTGTCATGCCTAGCTTTCGCAGCAACACCGTCGCACGAGGCGGCCCCTGATTATAGCCAGGGTTTGGGCAACACTCCCGATCGAATGCCAGGCAAAGGTGCGCACCATTCTCATGACCGTGGCTGACGAACGATCCCATGCTATCCCTCTGCGCAGGCCGTGTCGTTAGTGACATAGAAGATGTAGACATGGATCATACCGACACCACCTCTCGCAGTGCGCCATGTTTATCCACACTTAATTGCCCGATCATGACACCCAACTTCGCCAGAGAAACCCACGAGAAGGGTCAGCATGTCCGAGCAGGAGGAAGACTCCGAGAGCGAGGCTGTCCAGTCAGATGCAGGCCGCGAGGAAGATGAGGTCTTCGAGGGTGAGCACGAACCCGGCGTCTCCCAGCGCAAGGCGGAGAAGATTACACAGCAACTCAAACAAGGAGTAAGTACCATAGTCACGCTGCTCGAGCGCTAGGTTTCCCACGCACACTGCGTTCACCATCTTCCCAGACTGCAACTTTCGTCTCCAAAGCGGGACCCACGGCCGCCAGTCCCGCGACAATGCCTCCTCTGGCACTGACTCCGACTACAGAGCCGATTTCCTCGACGGCGACGCCACGGAACCCTCGGAAGAGCATCAAAGTGGCGAGTCAGAGCCAGATGAAAACGAGTCCAGTGGTGAACGCGTCCCCGATCCCGCGTGGCAGGTACATCTTCACCGTCTCTGTTCCCAACATTGATCCAAGGTCACTAATTCACTTCACACAGGCAATGATTGTCCGTCGTGGCAAGCGTCGTGCATCTGGGAATGCGGCCGGAGTCGTAGTGGGCCACGCAGAGACGAATCACCAGGCGCCTCTGCAGAGGCACGATGACTCGGGTACCAAGGTCGCGTTGATGCCAGTGTTCTCCTTACCACTACCCTGTGCTGACACCGAGATCGAATGCGCAGGACAAGAGCGGCCACCGACTCACTAAGACGCGTGGCCCACCTAGCGAAGCCGTCAAAGATGTCAATAGAAGCAAGCCGACACCCTCCGAGCCTGAGCAAGAACGCGTCCAGGATCGTACTCCGAGCATGTAAGTCTTTCAAGATCTGTACAATGTTCTTCGGCTCATCTCCTCGATCAGGGCGCGCCGGCCCGGTTCTGTGCTGGCACCGGACGCCATGGAGACTTCGTTGACGAGCCTTTGTGGTACAGCCGCAAGCCCGCCGCGCTACTAAGAACAAGGTCAAGGCGCCATAGCCGACGTATAGCCACGAGGGTACGGTTCCTCACTCATTTGTCATTGTCACTCACAACTCATCTGTACCTGCGCGACAACAAAGCCGGAGCCGCAACCAGCAATGGCCATGAACGCGGCCACCAAGGCACAGAGGTCCGTGCAGATGCCTGGCCGGGTAGTGGTGAGTAGGCCATGTCTGCGCTGTTGCAATTACCCTGACCACTACGCCCACGTTGTCGCAGCCCAAACGGGTAAGTGCCATCCCTACGAACGATCAAGCCCACATATTGACACATTTCGTGACCCGCGTACCTCTCACATTGTGCAGCGACCATCCCCGGAGGTGCGTACGTTCTCATCGAGGAAATGCGTGGTTGCATGCCCTCGCCGTTTCCCAGCGCCTGCATGTTAAGTCTAACCTTGAGGCCAATCCACAGTACTTTGGGACAGCGAGTGAAGACGACGAGTCCGTTGAGCTCGTTGCGAGCCTTCAGCCGAAGGCGGCGCGTGCAAAGGCTTCCAAAACGGTACGATGACAATACCTATTACCGACCCACCTTGATCCCCACTAATTGCGAAACTTAATAGACAGGTTTGCTGGATCGGGTGGAGACGTCAAAGGTGAGAGCTCGACCCATTAACAAGACAGTCTCGCTGACGAGCCCACATGCAGAGTGCCACT